CGGGCTTCAGACAGTAAACTGTACGGTACCTGTTGCGCTGGTCAGGAACGGCGTCGGAACAATGCTAGCCTCATCGTCCGCTTTGACTCAGTGTTTGCGTACCGTTTCGAAAATCATTGCTGTCCAGGGTAAACAACTTCCATTCGGGAAAGGAACCGGTTGATGGAAGCAGCTCGTGATTGTACGGGAATGGGTGTTGTCCAGTGTTCTCGATGGGGTGGAAGTGTACATTGTGGCGAACGTTTGGTTTTCATTTTCGAGATGCCGGTTGAAATATGTTTGTCTCTAGGACCGGTTTACACCTGAATGGCGAAGATGCGAATGAACTAGAGAGAATGTACGGTTATTTAACAATAGATTTACGGACACTGTTCTACACTTTAGCGTTCCTAGAAGACTATGTTTATATAGATTGTAGAAATTAGCATCCGTCGAACTCGACTGAAACTCTTGCTAAATAATATTCGAAAAAAGTAGTGTAATTAACGGGTTCCGTAAGTCTAAAGTGAATGTGTACAGATTGTGATACAGTAATTTGTCGAGCTTAATATTGTGAGTTTAATCATTGTATATTCCCTCATCTTTGAATGTCTAATCAACAGAAAGATGTATCAAGATAAAACAACCCTTAGAATTCGCAATTACCAAACTCGCAATATTAAACCCTTGCACTCCAGAGGCGCCTCTAAGACGCCAAATGATTTGACACAGCAAAACTGTAAACTCTGGTATTTAATATTAAACCTTGTATGCATCGAGGTACGAAATATTGAAAATAGTTCTCTTCCTCGACGCATGTGAGATTTCTTAATTCAATCTAAGAAAATGTTGTCTGTATCTCGTTAGAAAATATTGAATATTTCCGGTGAAAAACTCCTGGAGTGCAAGGGGTTAAAGTGTATAAATTACTGTATTATATTCAGACTCGACTGCTTCGTTCGTGAGACATTTTTACAAATATTTCAAAAGCTACACGGTCAATGTGCTTCAACCCCATTGAAATCGTCGGACGGCGCCCTTTTCCCTATAATCATCGAGCTCTCTCCGTCGACGTCACAGTCTTTCATCAAAGATTTAGACCCATTCGCCGACCAGCCACCTAGAACGTAAACAAGGCGTTAATCGCGATCGGTCCTACAGGGCAACGCAATTTCCGTCGCTGACCCGACCGACCCCCCCTTCCACTTACGTCGTTTGGAACTTCGACGAGGCGGCCATTAATCCGGCGTGTTTTCGCGGCAGTTTTTCACCGCATTTGCGCCTGGGACCTCGACCGTTACGTCTAATTACATGGTCGACCGGGAACTCCGCGCTTTTTCTTACCCGGAAATCCGGGACCATAGAGGTTTTCCGGGACCTCGTTAGGGTATGATTCATGACGGGATGCTGGCCAGTCACGAGCCTTTTGTACCTCTGACAGCTGACCCTGAAACTGCAATTATCGGTGTTACAACGAGGCTTTGATGAGACTTAATCGCTACAATGTCAGAATTCTCGCGGGAATTAGTGATAAATAGACTGCACTTCGATGCATCCATGAGAGACTTCGAAATACGCAATTACTAAAAATTCATGGAAAAACATATAAAACATTCAATAATCCCTTTCATAACATTGCTCAGGGAACACCATGTTCTACATACGTTTTACCAAAAAATAAATCAATTTAACACGTTGAACGCCGCGCGATTTCACAGAGGAAAATACACAGAATGGAAAAAAATATAATATTAAATCATTCGATCGAATTACGTTATTACTATTCCACGTTCATCTAGCTGAATGTCACTGTATTATGTAGCGTTATTTGTAATATAGAAATTTTTTCATATAATCATCGTTTCATTGAGTGAACTATAGTAATTCGATTTGGTCGGGTGTCACCGGTGACCTCCATGGCATTCAACGTGTTAATTGAATTCTATTTTCAAGCTTATATTACTTATATTATTCGTAGTACTTCTGTTCTAATTATCTCGAAAATTTCAATCTGCACGAACATCTAATGAATCGTTGAACCATTGATCTTGCAGCTTTTAATCAAAAGTATTTCATAAACCACCAATCTCCGAACAAAAGATAATCCAAGTTCGCCGCATGTTTCATTGACACACGAAACGCCGATGACTGAAGGTGAATAAAACAGTCATGACAAAAGCAGAGAAACTGTAGGAATTGTCCAGTTTAAACTCCGATTATCGGTTCCCCATGGATGGATTCGCGTTTCCACATAATCGACGCGCTTCGAATGTACAATGTGTACATACATTGTGCCCGGTGAAATGTCATTCGGCGATAATTAGAAGTTATTATTTTCAGCGCGCACGGGAGGGACACGTGTATTAGGGGATCGAAAATCCGTGTACTTGCCGCACGGTTAATTACGCGTTTCAATATCCGCGCGCTCGCTCGTTAACGGACCCGCGTTCGAACTTTTTGCGGCACATATATAATACGCGGGCAACCGTATATTAAACGCAGACACGCTCGGGGAAACAAGACACGTATTCCCGATTATCGACACCAATCGTTTACCCAGCCCTCGCCCCGTCGCCATCGATAACAATTTTCGTCGCGCGATTGTTTATCTGTTTTTTTTCTGTTTCCGTGCAAGTCTTGTTACCGGGAAATGTAAACACGCCGACCGATCCGTGTCCGAGCGGAAGATTGATCAACGAACTTCGATCGCGAGGAAGCAGATTTATCGTCGTCACCTTCGATCTCGAACAAACGTGTTCAAGGACCAGCGTTCACGTACTACGAATTAACACTAACACTACCGAGCAATTAGAGTGACAGTTCCAATTCTTTATCAATATTAAAACACGTTCCTTGAGATTCAAGAATTTTGCAAATACGAATTTAATAGAATCTCTCGCAAAAACGCCTAATTTAAATACACGCAAAATAAAAGCTCCGAGGGTCGATTCGACCCGTCCGATAGTTTCGGTGTTAAGTGCGGTAATTAAGAAGATACGATTACGATTAATATAATGGGGTATCATTCGGCTAACAATTAGAGCACGGACGCTTACGTACATCCGCGAATTTAATTAGCCGATAGCTACAACGACATTAAACGGAACGTCGCTTGATATAACAGGAATTTAATCGTGACAATGAAACTTTGTCGCGTTACTAGGGACAGAGGTCACAGGAAACATCGAATCGTTCCGTGAATCGATTAATACGATGAATGATAAGCTCTCGGATAAATGAGTATCAACAGTCGACAAGAGCGAATAGGATAGTCACCCCGGAATTTACAGTTCCCAGGTTTTTGTGTGTAAAATAAAGATACTCGGTGTTTCACAAGCGCCGCTTACCGTCGAGCGGATGAACAAGGCGGCGAAAAATGGATTCGCCGGAGCGCAACGGAATGACAAAAAGAAGATCGCGCGATCGATCAACTAAACCCGTAACCCCGTGAATCGGTTCGCTCGCGCGTCCCCGTAGCCGCGGCACACGGTAACCCTCCCATCAATCCGATACACGCATAAACATCGGCAACGAGCCGACAATAAAACACGTATCCGGGCTTACGTGCCGGCGCCGACGCGTTTAACGCGGCTAAATCAATTTGGAGTCACGTTTCGCGCGTAACAGCCACGAACTTTGCCGCTGCGCGGCGAGCGGCGGGGGCGGCGAAAGATGCAAACGGCCAGGTAATTCGAGCCGAACAGTTAAGAAACTCCGAATTCCGCTAACGCTCCGTTAACGGTTTAACGGGTCCATTCATAGGATAGTCGCGACCCGGCGAAGAAGTCAACTGCGAAATTCTAACTCGATCGCGAATACCCCGGCGGCGTTGTTACAGAGTTTTAACGTTACTCCCTAATACCCGGCACCCGGCAGCCCCTCGTCCCGTCCGGTGAACACGGACCGAGCCGGCTCTTCCCCTGGCGCCGCCGATGCAAAAGGGGGTAACAAGTTGGCTAACAAGGGAAACGCCGGGGCGACGTCATCGATTTTTCAACGGCGAGTCGCGATTCGTATTGGTTACACAACGCTGGGGAAGCTTAACCCTTAATGGAACGGAAGTGTTTCGAGTTTACCCACCGGCGAAACATACCGTGACACAGATAACAAGCGGAAAGAAATTCGTAGAGGCGACCTGGCACAATACTTGACGCGTCGATTGTAGGTATTATAATAACGTAGCGTCTGTGCACGAAATTGACTATTTGTATAAGGAAAATTGAAAGTTTCCAATGTAGCTAAGTAGTTTCTGCTATACAAGATGATTTTTATTTGAAACGTCAACATTTTCTGCACATGACCTTCCCCTATTTATAGAACCTTCAAACTACAAGATATCCATTGTCAAAAAGAGACTTCGTAACATCCTATAACAAAACTATAACCACCATGTGTTCAGCTCTATACCTTACAACTTTTATCCAAAGTCCAGTATATAAATTGTCAGCAATAGATGACCTTCCTCTATTTATATAACCTTCACACCAAAACGCAAGATATTCATTGTCAAAAAGAAACTTCGTAACATCCTATAACAAAAGTATAACCGCCGTGTGTTCAGCTCTATACCTTGCAACTTCTATCTGAAGTCATATATCAAAATTGTATGCAAATCAATGACCTTACTCTATTAATATAACCTTCAAACCGAAGGGCAAGACATCCATTGTCAAAAAGGAACTTCGTAGCATCCTACAACATAACTATAATCGCCATGTGTTCAGCTCTATACCTTGCAACTTCTATCTAAAGTCCAGTATATAAATTGTCTGCAAATGACCTTCCTTTATTTATATAACCTTCAAACCGAAGGGCAAGACATCCATTGTCAAAAAGGAACTTCGTAGCATCCTACAACATAACTATAACCACCATGTGTTCAGCTCTATACTTTACAACTTCTATCTAAAGTATTTTTTCTATCGCTCATACTGTCTAAGTTATCGAGGTCTGTCCAGAGAACGGCCGTCCGGCTACGTCGTCCTTCCAATTTTCACCCCCAACCCCGTTGTGTGTCGCAGATGGGAGTTCGAGTTGAAGACGGCCGCCACGAGCGGGCTGCTGCTCTACAACACCGGGCAATCGTCGTACGCCGATTACCTCGGGATCGAGTTGTTCGAGGGTAAAATACGTCTGCTGATGAACAAAGGGAACGGGCCGACGGAGTTGATACACGGCGCGCCGGTCGCCGACGGCAAGTGGCACCGGGTGCTCGTCGATTTCAACCCGAGCGGAATCGGGATCACGGTGGACCGCCAGGAGAAAACGATCAGCCTGCCGTCGGGCGGCAATCGTTACCTGGACTTGGCGGACACCCTCTACATCGGCGGCACCGAGCTGAACAAACGCGCCAGAGCGTTGGGCAAGGGCCTGAAGTCCGGCGATCTGAGCTACAAGGGTTGCTTGCGGAACATGCAGCTGGACAACAAGGAGCTGGGCCTGCCGGACGTGAAGATCAGCCAGGGGATCGTGGTCGGCTGTGTTTGGGGGTTCCCGTGCGTCGAGGAGGAGCCCTGCGTCGCCGGCGCCGTTTGCTCCCAGCTGGGTGTCACCTCGTTCAAGTGCGACTGCGATCAACCGTCGTGCACCAAGCCGAACTACGCCGAGGATTACAAGGCAAATATTGAACGATCGCTCTGGCCCCCGAGCCTCTGCAGTTCGCGGCTCCGCTCGAGAGTCCTGTCCGCGGGAGGCCTGCGAATGGATAAGGGAACGGGGTTAACAGATTTTCCAAGAAGATTCTCGAGACGTAAACTAATTGGCTCTGATACGCCTAGATCCGGAAAGCAGTCGCGATACGAGTATTTACAGTTTGGAGTTTCTTGGGAAACTTCAGTTCCTAAGCGTGTCTCGGGGTTCTATCGAGGAACGAGTTAACCTCTGATTTATTTCTCGACTGTGATCGATATGCCTATTCTACTGTTAATAATTTCTGGGACAATTGAAACGTTGCGGGTATATTCTGTTTTCTGTGAAGTAATAATGGCTGACGGGAGGATAATATTTCATTCGCATCCGAAAGAGTCCAGCGATGTTTGAGTCGTCGGAACAAGGCGGTTAAGTCTAGGAAGGAAAAATTGAAATTAATGGTCTGCCTTCTGAAATGATTCTGCGACGTAGGATCTGTGGAACGAAGGGCTTTCTGACCGAGAAGAAATCCTTTAACATTGACTACCACCTGAATAATGGTAACAATGTTTAATGTAATCTTGAGCATTCGTTTTCTTAGTGACGTGTCGAAGTTTTATTGGATCCATGAGATATAAGTAGTGTAATCGTTAAGAATCTTCACTCTTTAGTTTCTTTATAAGAAAATTGTTTTTGCATGGGAGTTTTGATGAGTGACTTACTAGTTAAAGTAATAACTAAAAATATTATTCCTTCCATCGAAACTTAGATCAGAATACATCGAGAAATCGACTTAACCGCATTTTTCGATATGACTCATTTGTGCTTGTCCTGAATCTAGAATCCTATTCAAAATCATCATAAGAATGATTACTGATTCGGCAATCCCAAAATCTCGAAGAAACTATTTCGGTAAGAATATCCGTGGTCCAGACAGTCGAGTTTAGCTTCTGCATGTTTCACGATCCTCGAGCCTCGGGAAATAAATTAATTGGCAATTGAGAAATTCCTGGATATTGAGATACCGCATGATCGAGGGGGACACGATCACGACTCTGCAGCTCCCGCGGGCAAACTTCGATCGGTTGGACCAGCTTCGTGTCGCAGCCAGGGCCGAAAAGTCTCTCCCCGTGCTCTCCACGGAAGTTCGCCGACCAGTTTCGCTCTGTTCCCGGGCAACTTGGCTAAACTGCTACCCGTTTCATTTAACAACTTTCCGTCATACTTCGGTCTATTTATTTATTCGCGTATCGCTGCGCTGAACCGGGAAACCGGCAGACTTTTCGGCCAGCCGGGCGCAGAGACCGGAGGGAGACACCTGAGACCTGGAGCTGGAATGTCCAACCCCGCTTTTAACGACACGTCGTGATTTCTAAAGGAAAAAGTTACTTCAAAGCAGCTGGTATCGCGAGAAAAGGAACTTTCCGTCGGAGTCCGATATTTTGAAATTTAGTGGTGTGCCGATGAAATAATGGAACTATGCGGAAAGTATCCTTAGTTATCCTTAAAAGAAATTGCAACGTTCGATCGGTTAGCTGCGAGAAACGTGCGTCTAAATTTGGTGTACAGCCTCTATAATAATTATTTACATTCTTGTTATTCGTGAAATCTACGAATGCAGTTCTCGACGAAATTGCAATTTGAACAATAAACACTGGTAACACGAAACATCATTCATCGTCAATCTCAGCTAACCGGTTAACACACTGACAACCGCTAACACTAGAACTACCGAAAACAGTCTTTCTAAAACTTACTAAATATAAACATGAATTCATTAGAATTCCAATTGGCCTGTACTCCAGTCTACATATCACTAAGTCAGCTTTAATCATTCCTTAAACAAGCGTCTGTACCTTAACACTTAGGCAAACGACTGAAAAGAACATAACTACAACCTCTCCCATTATCTTCAACTGCACTCTTACAATTAATATGATTAAAACCTTTGTTTCATAAAAACAAGAACTATATTTGATGAGTTGCAAATAATCCCACTTCAAGACTTACTAAACAACCACAGCAAAAAGTAGACAGACTAAAAGGCAATACGTTGCTAAGTGAAAAGTGGGAGATCTCTTTCGGTTCGCTAAGTGTTAACAATCACTGTAAAAGAACTTAGGAATTGGTGATTTCTACCCGGTGGTTCTAGCGTTAACATCCCCAATCCTCGCGTAACTTCCTTCTTCGTAACCGATGTGAGACGATTGTCCAACCGGTTCCCGGTTATAACCGGGAAGATTACATTGCCGTCCCGAAACGGAGCTATATCCGTGCATCAGCATCCCCTTCTGCCAGAGAGCCTCGCAGCCCAGCGTCCCTCGCTCACAGATTTTCGGTCTGGGAATTCCGCAGGTTCACTCGAAGGCGAATTTACCCGTGGACCTGGAGATACTCTCGGTGAGCCCGGTGCTCGTGTCCGAGGGTGAGCACGTGCTGGTGACGAGCGATAACATTGCCATGGTATTAGACATCGCTAAATATGGGGTGGAAGAGGACGGCGTTATCTTCACCGTGGTTACACCGCCCACGTATGGCACCCTGGCCCTGGACCTCCTAACGACCAGGACAGAGCACTCCTTCACTCTCCAAGACATTAATCGAGATAAGGTAATACCCATCCGCCGAAACACATGCTGCCCGCCGAATTCACGACACCGGCCCCCGGCCGGAATAAAATTACGAGGGTGCCCTGCGGCCGCGTCACGGCTATCTCGCATCGAACAATGGCTAATGATCGTCGCCGCTAACTAATCATCCACGAGGGCGTCGTCGAGTTTTCCTTCCCTTCCGAGCGTGAACCTTCTGCACTGGTGAGGTTGGCTCTTGTTGCTCGTTGATCTGATAAAGTAGAATGGCAAAGTTTAATATTTGAAATACTTTAAATATTAGATATTATATCTGTCCAAATATTAAATTTCATTAATGGACTTACGGACGTAAATCGATTTATTCTACGCTTTGTTCTATTGGCTCTAGAACGTGTTTATTTATAGAAATCGCGAAGATTGTAGCTAACGTTCGAGTATTAGAATATATAGAATATATATTTTAAATATTAAATATTACATCCGTCTAAATACTAAATTTCATTAATGGACTTACGGACGTTTATTCTACGCTTTGTTCTATTGGCTCTAGAACATGTTTATTTATAGAAATCGCGAGAATTGTAGCTTTAACATTCGAGTATTAGAATATATATAATCGAGTATAAGAATATATAGAATATATATTTTAAATATTAAATATTACATCCGTCTAAATATTAAATTTCATTAATGGACTTACGGACGTTTATTCTACGCTTTGTTCTATTGGCTCTAGAACATGTTTATTTATAGAAATCGCGAGAATTGTAGCTTGAAAATTCGAGTATTGGAATATATATAATCGAATGAAAATCTAGCTACTGAATAATACTGAAAACATTTAACATCAAGTAGACGGGTGTATCCGGTGCTAATCGATTAAACGTCCAAAGTAGTAAACTCACGAGCGCAAAGGATTGAAACGCAAGAACCTCTTCTATTACCGAGTCATCCCTAAGTCGACTTCGCGACGCACAGCCTAAAACACAAGTCAATTCGAGTTACAATAAATCCCCTCGCGGAGTTCGTACAAAGTAATAAAATCCAATCACGTCGGCAGTCCTAACGAACCGCGCATTCGACAAACACGCGTAGGCTGACTAACGTCGCCTTCCACGATCGTCCGGATCGCACAAGAGAAAATAGAGGAGAAAAGGGAAGGTCGCGCGGTCCTCCACTCCGTCACAGGACCAACGAGCTATAGATAGTCCCTCCGCCCGAGGAACTAACTTTAGAACCGTGGGGGGCCGCGCGCGTCTTGTCGCCGGGACTCACGGTTGTCTGTTCCTCTTCCACTTGCACTCAATTTATCCAGCGACGGTGCTCTATTTATAAACGCCACCACCGCTCATTAATGGTTTTTCGTGGGTTTACGTCGTCCCGGGACCGCCGTATCCATTAAACGCTTGCTTCGCCTCCGGGGTTCGTTTCTTTCTCCCACCGCCGCCACTCTTCCTTCTTCCTCCCCTGTTTTCCTTGCAAGTTTTTCCGAGACCTCCCACCCCTGACGAAAATCCCGTCGAAGCGAGCACCCCGTCGATTCGGTATGCTAATCGTCGATTTATAAGCTCGCCTCAATTAATTTTAATTACGGCGGACACCGGCGGCCGGGGATCAGTGAATTTAACGCGGGCAATGATTCACCGGCAGCCGTGGCTCGCCGGAGACGCAAAGGGAATTTTTAAAACCGGCCCGGCTTTAAAAACGCGGGAGATACGAGGCGACCGCGGCGCGGCGCGGCGCGGCGCGGCGTGTCAAAGAATTTATTAGTTCGTTAAGCGTGGAAAAAAGGGAGGGAATTTCGATCGCGTGCGCGCCCTACGGCTCGTAAATAAACCGTCGCACGGGAAGGAGTAAATCTCGGGGCAACTTTGAGGCTCGCCCGTGCGACCGCCATGTTTCATCTCGATCCCGCGGCTTCATAAAGTCGCGGCGGGACAAATATTGCCGCGGGACGGACGCGAGCGCGGTGCCGTTTGACGGGGAGCTGCTCGAAATTCGGTTTCTCGTGTGTGCGACGGATTTTTAGTGGTAACGCGTTGAATGTCGGATTTCTTTGCTCTGGATATGTAAACTCGAGGCGGTTGTCGTGTAACTGAACGCTCGACTCGTGGACTAGAAATTAACCCGGTCGGGTGCCGTAATGGCGACTACTTCAAAGCTGTGAATGAATAATTTAATTGTTCAAATAACGAAGATGGACTAACAAATCTCGAGAGTAACATCACCGTATTAGATTGTATAATGCAGGTACACGATCTCAGAGAATAATCGGAAAAATAATAAAGATGGTCTAACTCTCGAGAGTAACATCACCGTATTAGATTCTATAATGCAGTTACACGATCTCAGAAAAATCGGAAAAATAACAAAGATGGACTAACAAATCTCAAAAATAATATCACCGTATAAGATTCTATAACGCAACTACACTATCTCATAGAAAAATCGGAAAAAATAACAAAGATGGACTAACAAATCTCGAGAGTAACATCATCGTATTAGACTCTATAATGCAATTACAAGATGTCAGAGAAAAATCGGAAAAAATAACAAAGATGGACTAACAAATCTCGAGAGTAACATCATCGTATTAGACTCTATAATGCAGGTACACGATCTCAGAGAATAATCGGAAAAATAACAAAGATGGTCTAACTCTCGAGAGTAACATCATCCTATCGGATTCGATAATACAATTGTAGGATCTCGGCGAAAAATCAAAATTCCCACGGAAGCCAACCCGGGAATAACATTTGCACCCGCGACGCTGGATTCTACGTGTTGAACGCGGATGTATTGTATTATTCCTGATAATATATTCGAATCCAGCGGCCGCAGGAGCACAGGAATAACAAGTCTCGAGGAAACCTTGTGAAATTACGAATTTCGGCCAGCTTCTCCTGAAACGGTGGCACCGCGCGTCGCCTCCGTAGCCGTCGGCGCTGTCTCCTTCGTTCGAGTCGCGTTCCAAGGGACGTAACCACGTTCAAGAGTCGCGTGCACCTTCAACGGCATCCATATTCATAAGTCCCGCGGAACATTGTTTACCGGCGTTGCGCATTGTCTCATTATTACGATGAAATCCGGCGACAGATACAGTACATGCACGACGGCAGCGAAACCACGGAGGACAGCATGGTCCTGGAGGTGACACTGGTGGCTGGCGCCGGTTACACGTTGCCCGGCTATCTCCAAGGGCGGCTAAGGTTCCCGCTGCACGTCAACGTTACACCCGTTAATGATCCGCCGCTGCTCGAGATACCGACCGCCAAAGTGCTGCGACTGGCTCAGGTAAGATGCCTGCGATACGGTCGCTGTTTAACGCTAGAACTGCCTGGCAAGTGGAGACGTATCTCAGATTTCTCCTTTCGCGATTTTTTCGAGAAATTGATTGGCAGTTTGACGATAGATTCACAGAAGTCAGTTTGATGGATATTGAATTTTTGAAGCATTAGTAATAATTCAAGTCGGTTTTTGATTTGTGCAGTTATGTGAATGTGTATGGCAATACTCTGGTTTTGAAGCTACAATTTTCTAGATTTATAGAGACGAACCAGTTTTCTAAGAACAATAAATCTAAAATCAATTGAAATCTTAATAAATGCATGTTTCTAATTTGCACGAGAAGTGTTAGTTCCAGTGTTAAGATAATTATTGATTTAAGGTAGGCTGCGTTGAAAATCCGAGCTCTTAAAAGATAGATAGTTAACTATTCTTGTATTATTTGGTACACGCGAGAGACACGTATTCCCTGTATGTATCGCTAAGTCGTCCACCCCTTTGCTACTCGTGAAATATGTAGCAACGAACCATTGTCATCGGCAAACTCGGAATAATCGAGCAGAAACCGCAATTTCTCCGTAAAATCTCGTGTGCTTTCGTCGCGATAACATAATTCAGTGCTGTTTCGGAGTCGGTCATTATCCGAATCGTTCCGGATAAATATTTATCTATGATAATCAGCCAAATAAATTGTTGTCGGTCGGAAATACTTCATTCAGTCAACAAGCGCTATTTGCAGCGGAATAACGCGTATAATTCGCAACGAGTGTCCACTTGTTTGGAATACATTCGCCGGATATATTGCCCGAACGCTTTTCCTCCGTATTAGTGGAAAGATTATTTACTGGTGTATTGGTAATTAATTCACCGGTGACTAATAAGTTCTCGCATTGAATGTTTGAAGAAAAGATTAACCCCTTGCCCTGTGATTTAATTTTCAACTGAGATCGATCCGACAACCTTGTCACTAATAATTCATCGAGAAGAGATAAAAATTCTATGCATATCTCACGTCTGTGTTTGCTCTAGCATATAATAATTGATAACAGAAGATTAATAATTCATTTGAATTCAATGTAACTGAGTAGTATTTATGCTTGGTAAATTCTATTTAAAATCTTCACGAGTCTCAAGTTGTAAGACAAGGGGTTAATAATATAACCAAGACATTGAACCTTCAATTCATCCACCAATTCATCCCTAAGACACCATTGCCATTTTTTTCTAACAGCAATTCAAAGAAACTGAGCAGTATTTATGTTTGGTAAATTCTATTTAAAATCTTCACGACTCTCACAAGTTGTAAAACAAGGGGTTAATAATATAACCAAGATATTGAACCTTCAATTCATCCACCAATACATCCCCAAGACACCATTGCCATTTTCTTCCAACAGCAATTCAAAGAAACTGAGTAGTATTTATCTTTGGTAAATTCTATTTAAAATATTCACGAGTCTCAAGTTGTAAGACAAGGGGTTAACAATATACAACAAAGATACTGAACCTTCAATTCATCCATCAATTCATCCCTAAGACACCATCGCCATTTCTTCCAACAGCAAATAACCACAACGAAAGCCCTATTAAGAATAGACGCCTAAAAGAATATCGCGCGATCAGCTGACAATTAATTCCTCGGACCGCAGTACCGAAGTCCGCACAACTTTCTCGACCGCAAACGATATTCTACCTCGGGTATTTTTAGGCTGAACGGATGACGAGTGCCAGTCAGCCTGACTTGTCCGCGCGTTAACGTAATTGCCGCGAATTGATCGACGCGAGGCGTGACCAGCCGCGGTAAATCAATTAATCGCGAATCGAAGAGGTCGCGGTCCGTTCCCCCCTTCCCCTCGCCGGCGCGCGTTGCCCGCGGAAGACGGGGATAACGGCCCGGCCGGGTCGTAGGCGGAATCGATTTAAGTCGTTGCTTGAAACGTTGCCCTTAATTAACCACTTAAGCCGGCAGCAATCTTCTTAAATGAAATAATTCTTGCGTCGACCGGTAAAACTGAGCTTTAACCCTTTCGGAGTTCGAGGCACCGGAGAAGATCAAGTTCGCTCCGCTGCCCGTCGGTTGTACAGGGTGTCGGAGAATTAACCCTTTGCACTCGAGAGGCGCCTCTCAGTCGCCATTTGATTTGACCCGTGTAAACGATAATATTTAGAATTCAATATCAAATTTTTATATAATGCATCAACACGTGGAACATCGAAATAAAATTCTGTTACTTAATTTATGCAAGGTATTTCTTTATGTTACTTGTAAAACGTATAATTGATATTCCATCAGGAAATAATGCATATTTGTTGAGAAAAATATTCTCGAGTGCAAAGAGCTAACGTGGCGAACTTGGATCGAAACAAGAAAAATGTTGTGCAACGTAAAATGAGAATTTCTAATGATTTTGGTAAGAATCGATGGCTTGAACGATATTGCATAATAAACTCGTGTATCACCTTTTGTTCATAATAGCGTATTAAAGCAGGAAACGACCCGTGCTTGTGGAACGCTTTTTTTCTTAACCGAGGCTATATATACCGACAGACTTCACTTTAAATCTGGGACACCGTGTATAATTTAAACTCGCTGCGAAGAGTCCTCCGTCCGCGTTCAATTTTTCACGAGCCATCGAATAATCATTTGACTCTCAGCCCCGGCTCGGGGCGTATCAAGGTGTCCATTAATTGATAATTACCGGGACTTTAGTTCTGCACGAAGAGTGACGCGTTTCGGGGGCGTAATCTGTAGCGCTCGATCATTCCCAGGGGACGAGGAAGATCCTGACGAAGGAGCTGTTCTGGGCGGTCGACGCCGACACGCCGTCGGACATGCTGGTGTACACCGTGCTGCGCACCGACGCGGACGCCGGCTACGTCGAGAGGGTGACTTATCCGTCCCGGCAAATCGACAGTTTCACCCAGGCCGAGTTGATGCAGGGGTTAATCGCATACGTGCATCGTGGGAACGGTAACGTTATCTCGTTCAATCTGAAACCGTCGAAACAGCATGTAATTTTCGACTGAATTTTTAAACCGAGCATACCCTATATCGAGATTTACGATGAGCTTAATTTTAAAGCTTCATGAAACTTTAATCCCCGGCGAGCGAGGATTTTTGAAAGCATTATAAATCTTTTCCACAAGAGGTTAAATTGAATATTAAATTAACCATTAAAACATAATTAACTCCGAATCGTTGATTTATGTAACCGGTGAATTACGTGCTTACCTTGTTCGGCCGTCTCGTAACCTGGAATTCGCTATAAACCTTTTCATCCCCCGACATTTCGAGGGCCAATCATAATTTAACCGACAACCATTGATAACTGAAGTGCCCGTTCCAACTTGCTTCTCACAGCGAAGCCAAACGCGAAGCTGGACCTGCAGGTGAGCGACGGTATCGAGAGCAGCAAACCGGCGAGCCTCAGAGTGGCCGCTCACCCCTTGGAGATCAAACTGATGCACAACACGGGCCTGGTCGTGGTGCACCGATCCTTCTCGTACCTGACTCCGGCGAACCTCTCGTTCACCACGAACTCCGACGACAACACCATCGACATACGCTACAACATCGTCTCGCCGCCGCAGTTCGGCACGATCCAGAGGATGCGGGACGCGTCGAGCAGCTGGACGAACGTGGACCAGTTCACGAGCAGGGACGTCGAGCTGAACGCCGTCAGGTACCTGCACAACGAGGGCAGCCCGAACCAGGACGAGTTCAAGTTCCAAGCGAGCGTCCGGGAGGTCCGCGCTCCGCACACCTACGACTTCCGTGTGACGTTCATAGACCTGGAACTGAAAGAGGCTAAGCGAGTGCCCATCAACTTCACGAACGTCGCCGAGGTGGTCGTCAGCAGTCAGAATCTCCGGTACCAGACGAACCCGTTGGTGACCTCGTCCAGCAAGATCACGTTCACCTTGGAGGCTGGACCCAGGTACGGCAACCTGTTCCTCTCGAGTCGGAAGCTGGAAGTCGGGGACACCTTCAGCCAAGAGGACATCGACACCGCTCAGCTCAAGTACCGTCTGTTCAAGCGCGCGTACTCGACCATCCTGGACGAGATCAGGTTCAAAGTGAGCGCCCCGCAGTGCGTCGACCTGCACGCCAACCTGAAGCTCAGGCACTACCTCAGCAAGAACATGAAGCCTCTGGACAGCGTGGAGACGCTGCGAGTGGACGAGGGCTCGCGCGTGATAGCCAGGATCTACAGGACCAATCCGAAAGACTACGGGGTCACTTCGCTGATGTACAACCTGACCGTCGAGCCTCGCCACGGCTGGCTCACCGTGACCAACGACTCGCAGTCCCACTCGCGCAACAACACCTCCTACTTCACCACCGAGGAACTCGCCTCCCAGAGGGTGTACTACGTCCACGACGACTCGGAGACGCGCGAGGACTCGTTCCAGTTCGTCGCGGTCGCCACGGACGACGTGGACTTCATGTACGTCGGCCTGTTCCGCGTCGAGATGACCATGAAGAACGACAACGCGCCGGAGCGAGCGGTCGACAAGGTGTTCCACGTTGTGTCGAAGGGCGAGAGGCTGCTGACCAGCAAGGACCTAGCGTACGTGGACAAGGACGTCGACACGAAGCCCAGCGAGCTGATCTACACCAGGGGGGACACCCAGAGGAGCAGGATCTACAGGGTGACCAATCCCACCGTGCAGGTGTACGAGTTCAGTCAGCAGGACATCAACGACGGCCAGATCCTGTTCAAGCACCAGGGCGAGGACCACGGGAAGTTCGAGTTCGGCGTCACCGACGGACACTTCTACACGACCGGCGTCCTCGAGATCCAGGCCAGCCCGCCTTACGTGAGGCTGAGGGAGAGCAACGGCTCGGTGGTGCAGTTCAACAGATCCGTGGCCCTGAAACCCAGCGAGCTGGACATTGAGACGAACGTGTACACGTCGGACAAGGATATAAAGTACACGGTGCTGGAGAAGCCGAAGCACGGGTTGCTGATGAAGCTCGGCCGCGAGACGAACTCCTTCAGCGAGGAGGACCTGCGCTACGGGATAGTGTCGTACAGGCACCTGGGTGGCTCGCTGGCGAAGGACGACTTCAGGTTCAGGGTGTCGACGAAGGGCGCTGAAACGGAAAGCGTGTTCTCGATCAAAGTCTACCCCGAGAGCTACTGGCAGCCGCTGATCGTCCAGAACAACAAGACCGTGTTCGTGGAGGAGGCGACCAGCGTCCTGCTGAACAGGAAGAGCCTGGAGGTTATGCACCCGAAGATACCGGACTCCGAGATAGTCTACTTCCTGAAGGAGTGGCCGCAGAACGGCTACCTCGAGCTGCAGATCCACGACGAGCACAGCGAGGAAACCCGCGAGGACTACATCGGGAACGCGGTGAAGAGCTTCGACCAGAGGCTGGTGAACGAGGGTCGGATGTTCTACGTGCAGTCCGTGATGAACCAGACCAACGACAAGTTCGTCGTCGACGCGACCAACGGTATCACCTGGTTGAGGGACCTGAGCGTGAACTTCGTCATCGTCCCGGAGAAGCTGTACGTCGAGGCGAAGGGCTTGGTCGTGGTGGAGGGCAAGAGCGTCGTTCTCGACGAGAAGTGCTTCGTCATCCTGACGCCTTATTACTCCGGCAAGGTGACGGACTACCGGATCACGGAGAAGCCGAAGCACGGGACGGTTCTGGACTCCACGAAGAACACGCAGGTGAAGAAGTTCTCGCAGAAACACCTGACCGCCGGGACGATACTGTACAAGCACAACGGCGACGAGTCTTCCAAGGACTCGTTTAAGATGGTCCTCGTCGCGGGAGACAAGACCAGCGAGCCGTTCGACATTTGGGTGTACGTGGAGCCAGTCAACGACGAGCTGCCCGTGCTGATCAACAGGACCAAGCTGAACGTCTGGCAGGGCGGCTCGATCGTTTTAACTCCTGGCAGCTTGGCGGCGATCGACAACGACACCGTGGCTCGTGACATTGTCTTCAACCTGACTGGCGTCAGGAACGGCTTCATTTCGCTGGGTTCAGCACCGCAGGTGGACGTGTACAACTTCACGCAGGAACAGATTGATCTGGCCGAGGTTGTTTTCACTCACACAAGTAAGTGCTTCTGCATTCTTCGTGGAGTCTTGTATATTCTTAGCGACTGGGTGGCTAACTTCGCTCTTCGAACGTCTCGAGACTTTAGGGCTATGATACTTGATTGGTTTATGTATAGTTCTATCGAACTTTGCTTTTCGGTTAGCGGAGTTAGTTTGGCCAACGAATGGCTAGTGTCCGAAGGTTAGTGATAGAAATTCATCTTTACGGATTGGTTTTTCAGATGGATCCGATGCTGAGTTCAATTTTGTTCTAAGCGACGGAGTGCACACGTCCGAATCCTACAACGTGCTGGTCGCCACCAAGCCGGTCCGGTTGACCATCGAACGGAATTCCGCTCTGAACGTGTTCCCCCTAAGCAGGAAACTGATATCAGACAAACTGTTATTGACGAGGTGCTTGGACGAGACGCGGGAGATAAAGTACGCGGTGCGAAATGGGCCGCATCTAGGCAAGATCATCATGGAGACGAACGAGGGCGCTTGGCTGAACGTCGACCGGTTCACGCAGAGAGACGTTAACAACAGCAAAGTATTCTACGAGCACACCAAACAATTCATGGACCTGACCGCCAATGATTCGTTCACGTTCGACGTGGAGGCGAACTTCGCGGAATCCTTAACCAATCAGGCGAGTCTAAGTGTAATCGACTAACTATTGAATAACTTCCAAGCGAAAGACATTCTTTGGAAACAAATATTCCAACGTTCCCTAGTCGAATCACCTATGTTCACAAAAGTCCTTAATGACGAAAGACAATTGGTTTTAGCTTAAGATGAAATATTATTTTCTTACAAATGCTTAACTTTGAGCAATTCTAGTCTTAGCAGATTACTAGTAACAAAGAAAAGTTTTAGCTTGAGATGAAATATTTTCCTCTTGCAAATGCTTAACTTTGAGCAATTCTTGTCTTAGCATCTTACCAGTAATAAAGAAAAGTGACCTAATAGTGATAAGTGAATTATATAACACTAACCTTATCGTGTCCTTCACTGCAGGTATTTCAAATAGACATCTCCGTCTCCAGCGGCGGTCTGGACAGGTACATCTCTGCGAAGAAGGTGTGGGTAGAGGAAGGTGGCTCCGCCCCGGTAGTGATGAACATCTCTAGAATCGTGTCGTTCCTCCAGACGCACGCCGGCATCGCGAACCCGGTGGTCCTCTCGAAATTGGTAGGCCAGCCGAGCCACGGTCACGTGATGATCGTTCCGGACTTGAACGTGACGACGTTCTCGCAGCCGCAAATCGAGAGCGGCAAGATCGCTTACTACCACGACCACTCGGACACTCTCGAGGATCGCATCAACTTCTCTCTGTACTTGACTCCCGGTCGCATCCTGCTCTGCAACACCAGCATCCCTGTGAACATAGAGCCGGTGAACGACGAGCCGTTCAAGCTGATCACCAACAAGCCCTCCATCACGGTGGTTCAGAATCAGAACCAAACGATCACCAGGAACGACCTGCTGACGACCGACCCGGACACACCACCGGAGGAAATTGTGTACGACGTGATATCCGGTCCCACGTGCGGCCGTCTGTTGCTGCTGCCGTTCAACGAGAACATCTCAGAGGTGCACCAGGTGAACACGTTCACGCAGCACGACGTCGACTCGAATCGGTTGGTGTACGAGCACAACGGGCCGCTTCAGGCAGCCTCTTTCTACTTCCGAGTGGGCGACGGCCGTTTCGAGCCGGTGTACAAGGTCTTCAACGTCTACGTGCTACCTATCAAACTGAACGTCACCGTTCCCGGTCCGGTGAACCTCCAGCAGGGCCTGACCGTCGTGCAGATCTCCGAGAGCAACGTGAAGCTGGACACGAACGCCAGGCAGGACCTAGTTGTCTACGAGGTAACGAGCAACCCGAAGCACGGCGTGCTGTACGTGAGGGACAGCACCGCGGTCAGTTTCAAGCAGACAGACCTACTCTCCAAAAGCGTGATGTTCATGCAAACGGACATGACCGTGTCGAACGACAGCCTGGAACTCGCTGCCCGGCTCAGCGGGTTCGAGCTGAAACACATCAGAATAGAGATCAAGGTAGTGCCGCTGATGATCATGAACCCTATGACAGCGCTGGCCGGCGAGAAGACGCGGATCACGTTGCAGTACTTGGACGCCACGCCCCTGGCGAAGCTGACGAGCAGCAATCCCGTGTACACGGTGACGAAGAAGCCTAAGTACGGGAAAATAAAGAGGATCATCAGGAGCTCGTCGTCCTCCGGTGAAAAGCGGGGCACTCGGGAGAAGGAGGTGGCGAAGTTCTCTCATCAGGAGGTGGTGTCCGGCGTGATCTACCTAGTATGCAGGAAGATCCCCACGTTAGAGTACGACGGCGTCATCGACAGCTTCGCGTTCGTCCTGGCTGCCTCCATCTTCCAGCCGGCGATCGGGGAGTTCGAGTTCCGCGTGAAGCTAGACATGGACGAGTACAACATCACCTTGGGAGGGCCCATGGACCCGGTAGGCCACGAGGGTGAAATGGCGATCGCGCCGAACATGAGCAACGACTATCTGCTGATTCTGGGGATGCTGCTGGGTGTGTTCCTGCTCGGCGTGGTCGTGATCGTCACCATCCGGTGCAGGCACAACAGGTACAAGCACGCCGAGGAAGAGAAGCCGGAAACGACGCCGGCGGTCGGCGTGATGCCGCTCCCCAGGCCGCCGGATCATCTGATGCCCGCGACGCCCCACCTGAAACGCTTCACGAACGATCACAACAGCGTGGCGGCGAGCACGCCGCTGCCGGTGTTGCCCGCCATGACGTCGACGCTGCCCCAATGCAAAGTGATACCGCTCAGTCCCCTGGAGAGCATCACCGGCTCGGAGGTGGACGTCTCGGCCAGGTATCCGTACGGCGTCGCGGACGGCGACGAATGGAGCAGCTTCGACACGTCGGACCTGCCTTGCCAATCGGCCACCACACAGAGGACCAACAACCCCCTGCTAAGAAGGAATCAGTACTGGGTCTAGCAAAAGGAGGGCTGCCCGCGGCTGACGCGGGCCAAGCCGTAACACACGTACACGCGCGAACGCGGGCACCGTACGCACGACGCACGTGCACACGCACGCCCCCTCGACTTACTGAAAGACTGTGGTTTTTTCTTACGAACTGCTCGAGAAACTAGTCGTCGATTATCATGGTCTTAATGTGCCTAAAAGAGAAGTGACTCTGCGGATATACGGGGGTACACACACCGGAAGCCTCGATTTTATAGCGGGATCGTTGACGGAAACTCCTTTATTCCCGGCGCGCGGCGGACGCGATCGATCCACGGCGTGGATTCAACGTGCCAAAACAACTCGCGGACTTCTTAGGAGAAACCGGAGTGTGTATTTACTCGGTGCTCGAACGCTCGCGGATCCGGGAACGGAGTTTCCATCAGACCTTTTTCTTTCTTCACTAACGTTTTTGTACAAGGGGAACTCTGTCGGGAGCGCTGAATATACGTACGTGCACTCGAAGTAGCAGTGTCTCGTGTAGTACCGTAGCTTCCCCGCGACATGAACAGAATTATAGTCGGAACAGAACGATTCGGTCGCGAGCTACCTTGTCCTCCATTCGAGTGCCGTCGCTCACCTTTACACGGTAACGTTGAACGCAATCGTCTGACAGCGAGTACGATGGTTCCTCGCCGACGTTCTTCAGCGACTGGATAATTTTGTTCCCATTATAGCCTCGTCAAGTCTGTATACAGAAATACTAAGTCAGTCGCTATTATGGATCGAATGTGCCTAAGAGATTACCAATGTCTTGTAAAAATACCTACTCGCCGTTTCCGGTGCTCGTCTCGGCCGGAACCACGTCAATCAGAATATTTCTATCCTCTCGGTGTTCCACGGCACGCGGTACTTCCCCTCCCTCGATGAGGAGTCGCTGCGGCCGAACGACTAACTGCAAACGAGGGCCAGTATCTGTAAGTGCGACGGATAACGGAAATATTCGAACAATCAGAATTTCAGTGATCGTTTTATTTCAAAATTACCATCGTGTTCATGATTTTTGTAGTTCATAAAGTACCGTAAACGTGCAAGACAATTTGGAATTGAAGGTATGACTGATATGACCTTGAAATTTTTACAAAGATGGCGAAAATGATTTTCATTGTTATTTGCGCAAGATGGACTATCCAGCTAAGAGGTTATCGCTTAACACGTTGAATGCCACGAAAAACGTTTTATGTACTCACACCTAACAAAAGATAAATAGGAATAATTATTAATTATTTGCTACAATCCTTACGTTGCAATATTATCCACTTACTGATAATGTATAATATATGAAATATTATCTACGTATATTATCAATTTTATCTAATTTACTAATAATATGTAACATAATTATGAATTATAATTGTTTCCAAGTTATTTCGAAGTTCAAGACACCAGCGACCACCGTGGCTGTCAACGTGTTAACCTCGACGACAAAAGAAAAAGTGACTCTTGCTAATGAACGTTACTTCGAGACTAGTCGTACGAATTTGAATCGTTCGATTTGAAGGAAGCACGCCGATAGCGGCATCTCGCGATCGACGGTTTACAGGAAAATGGGAAGTTCAAATATTTCCGTTATCCCGCGTGACTCGGCAGCGACGTCGGGAGAGTTTGTACGAAGTATCGGGCGTAGAACATTATACATAATTACCTAACGTTTATAAAAGAGAAGAAAAAAGTGACTGCAAGGTGGAGTGCGTGTTTCAGATTTATATACAACCCCCGGGAGTAATGTATAAAAATGACGAAGCGACTTTTGTAACGGCGTAAACCCGCGCGTTTAGACGCGCACCTTACAATAGGAACACTACGAGTTTTGCACATATCTTTTTACACCTTTCCCACGTATTTCTACTGACTCACGTCGTACTCTCTCGTCGAGCTCTCATCGTTCGAATCACGTTACGTTTCAACGTCGCGTTCTACACTTTCCGTTATTTTCTATGATTCTTACCTATCGAGCAGCAGAAAAATTATCTACACGCTACAAGACTTCGTTCGCGACTTCCGGTGGCGAACATAGGTTGAAGGGAGGGACGAAAGATGGCGCTGTTCCCTATCTAGCTTTTTAACCTGTTAACCGGCGAAAATAAGTGAATTCCCATTGTTTATTTTTCAATTCTCTGATTTCCGATAATTTCTCGTTTTTTGTTCGTTTATCTGGAAAGTCTAATATTTCATACGATTATAATATTTATAATACCACTAGCATACTCTTGTTACAACTTTTGGCGGGATAAACTAAATTTCCATCGTTCTTTGTAAATATAATCCGGATAACAGGCTAAAGTATGACGCGCAACGAATGCCATTCACTTTTCAAACACAATTTCGTCTGCCGGCCGGGAATTATTTAAAGTTTGAATACTTGGCGGTTACACGCGACCAACTAATTCAAATATATCACTCACGATCAGCCATTATCCAACGACAATGCGTGGACGGAGTGGGGATAAGCGTAATTACGATCATCTTACCGTCTATAGATGATCTGCCATTTTTCTCTGATTTTTGAAAATCATTTACCGCTAATCGATATCCTTTCGACGGCAACTGTTTTCCCTAGCGCGCTCATTAAACGCCGATTGACAAATAAAAACGCACGACAATGGTTTGCTCAGTTTCCCTTCAATATTGCAATAAAGTATCGAAACGGTCGATCAATCGATAGTATTGGCTCGATACCAACGGCGTGTCGATTCTTCTCACGCTCGTCGATCTTTCGGCGGACATTACGTCTTCTGGGCCTGCGCAAACTCACAGTGACCTTAATTAACGACGACTTCTTTACACCCTAGGAAACTGTAATTAAGAAAACGCTCTAACGTCGATGTTAATATAGTGATAATAATAATAGTGAAGATTATTATTATATATATATATATAAATAAATATATAAATATATAAATATATAAATATATGAAATATGTACACTCCTACATAGAAGACGCTGTTTCACGAATTCATAGCATATGCATTAATGTAATAGTTCCGATCGTACGAACGTGGAAAAAGGGGAAACAATTTTTATCGATGATCCATTTGTTGATTAATGAATATGCTAGAAACCGAACAGTTAGGCTTTTTTACCATCCCTAAAAAAAAAATGAACCGATCCGAGTGCCAAACTTCTATATTGTGTAATATATAGTTATACATACATAGGACTGTATTTTCCCTGCCGACTGAACTGCCGCATTACTCTTGTAATTCAAATAAACTGAATGTGCGATGTTATTTAAAGGGGGAGTGTAATTTGTCACATTTCATTGTCACCTTCCTGCTAGTTTCTTTTTTTTTGTTTGTTCATTCGTTAGTCGATCGGCTTCATATATCGATAACGTTCAAGTAAAAGCATGGAGGATACCGGTCAATTCATCAGAGTTTCAATTCGCCTAATTCTTATAGTTTCTTCCATGTCTATTCGGGAACGTTATATATCAAACGAATTGAAATTCGAGCTGATATTTTGAAGAGGAAAAAATATTTCAACGATAAATTCGTAAATTTTCTTTGTAATAATTCGCTTTTCGTGAATTTTCTAACGTTCGGAAGCGATAACTTGCCGATGACGATTCGAACGAACGGGGCTCCATCTGTAAAATTCGATTCCGTTCCGTTCGAATTAGTGAGAATGTAGTATAGTAAAAGTTACTTCTCAACATGGCTTCGTATGTGCGGTAAGTTAATTATTTTCGGCCTTTTAACCTTCAAAATATCAGGATAGATATTCTTCGGCTGGAAACATTGACTTTACCAGACATTCTGTTATGAATAAATTCTATTAATGTTTACTCTTTTAATGTTTACTTTTCTACTGAAATAATCATCACGCTGACGTGTCCATGATAACATCATCCTTGATATAAATAATTTTTTTCGAACAGTACGACACGCGGCACTACTTCGTTTTCAATAATTTCTTAATAGGGCCAATATTGTTCACCTAAACTCGTTTAAACATTGATTTTGCCGTTTAGAAACGATATAAAGCAAATTCTATTAGACCGATATTATACGAATATTTTTTCATTCCTCCTTATATTTCTCATGAAAGAAATGTAATTTACGTCTGTACTATCTGATATTATAAATATAAGTGTCTTACAACAATATCTCGCACATTTAAATACATATATATATTGCAGGTTGGGATTGCTTTTTTTATTAGTATGTTCTCCTCTTTTTGTGAATGCAGTGAATAGAGACACATTTAAAACGTGTGAACAAAGCAGCTTTTGCAGGTAAGCTTTTATTTCAAATAGACAGTTGGTTCGTTTATTTAAAGTATAATTGAATTTATTCTCTCATTGCATCAACAGACGTTGCAGAAAAGTTGAACCTGGAAAATCACCATATCAACTTTTAGTAGATACATTTACTTTCAATGAATCCAATGTAAACGTAGACTTGTTTAATAAGGATACAGGTGCTCTTTATGTACTACAATTGACTGGCCTAAAGGACAATACATTTAGACTTCGTATCAATGAAAAGAATCCATTGCATCCAAGATATGAAGTTGAACATGCCCTTCAGGATCAACCTCAAACAGCTGAATTAACTTTGGTTGAAAGAACTACGGATCACGTAACTGTAAAGAATGGGGGGAACAAAGCTATACTATATACTTCACCATTTAGGGTAGATTTGTACTCTCAGGACGTGTTAGTTGTATCTGCAAATGCTAGAGGTCTCATGAGATTCGAGCATCATCGTGCAAAGCCTAAGTATGTCTAATAAGAATACATATAGAATCTTGTTTGATTTCGCAAATAAACACTAACAATTTTCTTCCTTATATTCAACAGTAAATCAGAACAAGAAGAAAATGCAGAAAATGTTGAAGCAACAAATAATAATCAATTCCCGGGCGATGGAGCGGAAAATGATCCTGGTGCATGGGAAGAAAACTTCAAATCATATCATGATTCAAAACCTTTTGGTCCAGAGGCAGTAGCCTTGGACTTTAGCTTCCCTGGAGCAGAACATGCGTATGGTATACCGGAACATGCAGATTCATTTGCTTTGAAATCAACAAAACAAGCTCACCCGTATAGATTATACAACTTGGATGTGTTTGAATACGAAACCAATGAAAGAATGTCAATTTATGGAGCTATACCTGTTCTCTACGCTCATGGTAAAGAGAGAACAACTGGCGTCTTTTGGCACAATGCCGCGGAAACGTGGATCGACATTTTGTCAAGTGCTGACAATAACGTTGTAGAGAGCATTGTAAACTTTGTGTCTGGTTCCGCTAAAAAATCCCAGGTTGATGCTCATTTCATGTCAGAGGCTGGTGTTATTGATGTATTCTTTATGTTAGGACCTCAGCCTTTAGATGTATTCAAACAGTACACCATCTTAACGGGTACAGCACCTTTGCCACAAATGTTTACACTAGGATATCACCAAAGTCGGTGGAATTACAATGATCAAGATGATGTCATGCAAATAGCAGAGAACTTTGATGTACACGATGTACCATTGGACGTCATGTGGCTGGACATTGAATACACGGATAGTAAAAAGTACTTCACTTGGGATAGTCGTAAATTCCCGAATCCAATTGAAATGATACATAACTTGACCGCGAAGGGTAGAAAATTGGTTGTTATAATCGACCCGCATATCAAACGTGATTCGAATTACTTCCTTCATAACGACGCTACCAAAATGGGATACTACATTAAAACAAGAGACGGAAAGGACTACGAGGGTTGGTGCTGGCCAGGATCGTCTTCGTATTTAGACTTTTTCGATCCAAAAGTACGGGAGTACTATATCAGCCAATATAGCTTAGATAAGTTCTATGGCACTACTAATGACGTGTACATTTGGAATGACATGAATGAACCAAGTGTGTTTAATGGTCCTGAAGTTACTATACCTAAAGATGTCATCCATTATGGAGGTTGGGAGCACAGAAGCGTCCACAACATTAACGGACTTCTTTTACCCATGGCCACATACGAAGCTTTGTTTAAAAGATCCGGAGGTACTCTACGGCCATTTATACTAACAAGATCCTTCTTTGCCGGATCACAACGTTACGGAGCGATGTGGACCGGTGACAACATGGCTGCCTGGGACCATTATCGAGTAAGCTATCCAATGTGCCTCTCCATGGCCATTGCGGGAATGTCATTCTGTGGAGCAGATGTTGGAGGTTTCCTTAGAAATCCCGACCCTGAACTATTCGTCAGGTGGAATCAGGCTGGCGCTTGGCTTCCTTTCTTCCGACAGCATTCTCATATTGAGACGAAACGCCGCGAGCCTTGGACGTTCAATGAAGAAAATCTCCAAATCATCAGAGAGGCATTCAGAATGAGATACTCGTACTTACCGCTGTGGTATACACTCTTCAGAGAGCATGAAGTAAATGGTACACCAGTGATACGGCCATTATGGGCTCATTATCCCACCGAAACAGAAACATACACCATTGATGATGAAATACTTGTTGGAGATTCTATAATTGTACATCCAGTCTTTCAACCATCCGTTACGGATGTTAATGTGTATTTCCCTGGCGAGGGCAAAGTAACTTGGTACGATATTGATACCATGCAACCATACCGCCAGTCGGGCTTGGTTAATATCCCTGTGACTCTCCATAAAATTCCTGTGTTCCAAAGAGGTGGTTCTATAATTCCACGCAAGATGAGAATACGTCGTAGCACGGTCCCAATGAAGAACGACCCGTACACTTTAATAGTTATCGCTGATTCTGCCGGCAAAGCTAATGGCACATTGTACATTGATGACGAAGCTAGCTTCGAGTATCGTCATGGGAAATATTTATATTTGAAACTTAATTTGGATGGGAATAAACTAACATCAACGTTTATAGATAAATTAGCTTCATATCAGACAGAAAGTTGGTTGGAAAGGGTAGACATTGCCAACCCACCGCAAGGGGTCACATCTGCTGTATTAACTTCACGCAGTAAGTGATGATAATTTAAATAAATATTACAGTATTTAATAGTGCAAATGAAACACGAATCGATTTTTCTTTCAGGTTTGGGGAAAGTTACTTTGGAAGCCAAATACAATCCAAATAATAACGTATTAACCGTGCGTAAACCAGGTGTAAATATGGGTGAAGAATGGACGATTGAACTGATTCACTAAATTCACAGATTTATTCATCGTAATCTTAGTAATTATACAATAACGTCAGTTTTCTTTTATCCGTGCATTTTTTCAGCTGTCTGTGATCAAGGGGACATTGTACACTATAACAGAACAAATACACCCTAGAGATACGATGTAAATGGTACATTTATTACTTTGGCGAATTAAGAGATCATTTCTGTTTACTCGAGTAGTGGTCAGTAATAAGCCATTACGTAGCTACTAAAGTTTATAATCATGAACGTCATCTTTGATAAAAATAACTACATGTATTAGAAATAGCAGTCTCATAAACATGTTTCTAAAAAAAATATTCAAATTCTTTCTTAATATATCAAATCCTATTGCTTATATGTTTTGTATTTTCTTCCATCTTTTATAAATGTGTTCCCGAACCAAGGATTGATTTAATCGCATAAAAATTGTGTATCTGGGAAAAACGGTAAACACGAAATACAGAGAAATATCTTAATTTAATTAAAAAAATGTTTTATTATATTAAACACGTTCTGCTGGTGCTTGCTTATGTGCTAAATACAAAAACACTATTGAGGATAATGCGGACACTAAGAAGATCACGTCGAACCATCTATGATAAAAATTAAATTGCAATTCTCCTAAAACTTGGGTAATTATAATGCGATATTCTGCCGGCATATTCATCCGCATTAAAAGTACAGAAGATACGAAATACATACCCTGCAAAAAGAAACATAATTCTGTTACCGTATATTTCTGAAATTATAATTAATATTGGAGAAGGGATAGTCTTACCATTATTTGAGCAAGTATAAGTACAATAATATTCGATGATTTGCTACTCGATATAGCATAAAAAAACTGAAATAGAAAGGAATAATATTAGTTGCCTAATAAGAATTAAGACTGACGATTCAACGACAAGTTAATCATATTTTACAATGTTGATATAACATGTACATACGCATTATACTTAATAAATATCAGAGACCATTCTACAACAATAAAAAAAAACGTTTTTTTAAGTGTATATACCTTCGTAAGAGTTAGTAATAATCCGCGAATTGATGTTAACACAATACAGCCAATAAGATAAAATGAAATATGTTGTGACCAGAACGTAACGTCGATGTTAAATCCCATCCAATGAACAGCAATTTCAATTGCTCTGGTTACAGGATCTTTTTTACCAACGCGATCAAACACTATGTTAATTGTCGACTAAAAACGAAAATATTAAAAATAATGTAACGGAATTGTAATCTTTTAATTGACTAGTTCTTGCACTTACAATGAATATCTTCCATGTGCAATAACCAGAGAAGAAATATCCCAGAACATTAAAATATTTTCCTTGCCAAGTTGCTGCCCATTCTAAACGTTCTCTTGCATTTTGAATATCATGTGCTTCTAAGAATAATTGACGAGATAACTCTTCTAATGCAGTCACTTCTGCTTGTAACTGTTTAATACCTAAAAATTTATGCTATTATGCAACATGTTACTTCACATGTTAAGATCATTTGACAGTAAAGAAACATACTTTCTTGATTACTTTTAGTGCCACTTAAGGGACCTAACATTCCCCATAGTCTAGACCGTGCTTCAATGTGACCTACAACTTCTCCCTTTTTAGCTAATGCTATTCTCTTTTTCTTAGCAACAATCATATCCATTGTTTGCAACAATCGCTTCTCTATGGCTTGCACATCAGTATATGTTACAGGCCTCATGAAATAAGCCATTGAAGTGTATGGATAATTTACAGCACCAAATCCTGACAGAAGTGCCATCACAGTAACTCCGATTACTCCAATCCGGCTAACACCTTGTTCTATAGACAGTAGGCCTTTTTTTGGACTTAAGATTGGAAATGGATCTCCCACTTTCCAAAACAGATACAAATAAAACAAATATACAATGACTGTTAATGGCCTTATTAATTTCAGTCTAACTATAATAAACAAAAAAGAACTGAAATCAGTAATAGTAATATAAAATATCAAATGTAGTTATTTATGAGTCATACGTACCAAATCTGATATTACTGATAATAAAATATGCTATGTAAAATGGAATCAAAACGATTACCATAAATAAGAGCATATAAAGGCCAGCATTCCAATGAAAGTATCTAGAACTAAATCAGGTATGACATGAAAAAATAATGTTGAAGAAACAAACAGAATAATGCTTACTTACCTAGAATCAAGAACTCCTACTATTTCAAAAATAATTAGCTCAAACATAGTACAGGACAATGAAAATGTTGTGGAAAAAATTAACTGTACCAATCTGTGATGGACTTCGTAATCCCGAAACAATTTTTTTACAAAAAATACCCATCCTCCTAAGAAAAAGATGACCTGGAACGTGTGACATGAATGAATACCAAAAAATCTGCAAAAGTAAAAGTTCAGTCTGACAATACACAATCCAGTTACACAAGATTAATTGAAACGTTTATCAGTTTGTGAAATAAATCACACAATTTAAAACCACCAATTTATTGCGGCAGCAGTATTATCAATACAATGAACATAACATACATATAAATAGTACAATTTTCTCTCTTACTTAATACATCAATGCCGAATTAATCGCATGGAAAGAACTCAATGTATGAGTCTAACAAAACCTGAATATAATAAATCTAAAAACAGTGCTAAGTAATCTAATTTACGAATTAAAGAATTGTACAATATTTATTTAAAAATTCATTAGATTAAACGCATTATTCGTATCAAGTGAATCAACGATGTTTCCCTTCAAAGATATAAAATTAATCATTCATAACCTAATTGTGTAACGTCTACGAGTACCGGCACAATTATTAATATTAACGGGGAAATAAGTTTCCACCTGGGTAACAAGAATCACGAACGTATCCTCCAAGAAACCCATGTTTTATCTACGTCGCACGCGCTTCGCATTGCGAAGCGTCGAATTGCTATCTTGTTATTTGACAGGACACAGCAATAAAAACAATCCACGAGACAACGTAATGGATGTCACTGAAAGTGCCACATGCACTAAGTACGCAGCCATTTTTTTTTTATTTTTTCTATCGCCCCATCTACAGCAAACGCATGGACCTCAAATATTTTGGTTAATACAAATCAATAAATTATGAAAACATTACATAAAAATATATTGACACGTCTGTCTCATTTGCTTCTCGACATTTTAACCCTTCCTCAGAGAATTAACTAATGCATTCATACTTCCACACATGGAAAAAATAGAAATTACGTAATAAAAAATAACCACTTCCACGTGATTAATATTACATAAATGTATCGCATTTATTTCATCCTATATAAAATACAATTAAAAAATTCGCTTATCATAGAGTTTAGAGTAGAGTACAATAGTTTAAAACTATGCTCTTTCAATTTCGTTTAAGTTTTCTTTTGAGTTTTCCTTTGATGATTCCTTAATAGATGTGTTGCGATTGGATAATGACATTTGCTAAAGAAAAAAGTAGAATATTTAATAAATAACAAGTAGTTGTATAAATCACACTGTACGAAAGTTGATGCACGGTGAAACCCTTACTTTATTCTCTTCGCAATTCATTTCCTTTAATGCTTCTCTGTACCTTTGAAGTATGCGATCCGGTGGAGACGTTTTAGCAAGACTTTTGGAGTATTGGAAGGTTCTTTTCACAGGTGTTTGGCCTATTAAATTTTAATCGGGAGAATAAATTAGAAGCTTACAAATTTAACCAATTGAAAAGTAAAGAAATACCTGTCGGAACGTCGCGATATAGATCTTCAGCGAAGAATTTCTCAACTCGATCGCGTATTGTCTGCAATCCTGCGATAATTTTGTTATTTGCATTGCCAGAATTCAGGTTTTCAGTTTCTAGTTGTTGATTCATTTCGGTACAAACATTCATAAACGCTGATTTCAAACTACTTAAGGATCGTGAACGTTGATCGCCTAGATTATAAACTATTGTATATACATCCTGAAAATTGTACACGTTAAAAACTTCAGGAAAACAATAACGGTGTAACCAGAAAAATGTGCATAACGATAAAGCTTACGTTAATTAATAATAAAATATGACTTTTATCTTCTTTCATTTTTTTCTGTATTTCCGCCATATTACGTTTCACGCAATTTTGGTAATTTACTAATGTGTCGCAGTTATTATTCAGGTTCGTTTGAAATTCGCTAATAAGTGCCTTAGCTTGAGCAATTGAATCATTCGACATCGACTTCAGCTGTGTAAAGTAGAAAGCTTCGTGTTATAGGCAGAGTGGAAAAGTTATTTCTTGATCGACTAGTGTCTTAGGGACATTACCTTTTCCGTTTCTTCTGAGACCATCTGCTTCATTATTTGTAGGTCATGTTCAAGTTTTTCTTGTATACAATTTTCTTGTGCTGTCTTTATTTTACAAGTTTTTGAAGCTTCGTGGTTTATAACATTACAGGTTTCATCAATGTTGTTTAACGTATCGCATATCGACGAATGATTCTCCTTGTTTTCATTTTGCAATTCATTGAAAGACTTTTGCAAATCTTCCATCATCTGCAAATTCGAATCACTCAAAACACAACATTTTAACAATTTGATGGAGAACATACCTTTGCAAAGTTGAATCGCTTTTCCATAATACTGTTTTGGCTTTGTCGAATTTCTTCAACATTCTTCCTGATATCCTGAATATTATTATCTAAACGGCTACGCTCATTGCTCGACGACTGGGAGAGCTGAGCCATCAAACTGCTAGCAGTTTGCGTCATACTGTCAATTTTTTTATGAACATCATTATTCAAATCACTTAAGTTTTCAGCTACTTTGTTGTCTATTAATTGTTGTATTCTTTGTACGATAATAGAACAACCGTTACTTAATATGTTACGTTCTTGATCCGTCATCGTAATTACATTCTTGAATTCTTTCTCGAGGCATTCTTGATATCTTGAATACTAAGAAAAGTACATCAATGTAATTCAGTACAAAAATTAATACATAGCAAGTATGGGAAGAAGATATTAATCACTTACAAAATCTTCTACATTTCTTGTCAATTTATCGGTTGTGCTTTGGATTGGACTGACGAATTCATCGGAAATATTTTGAATAGATTTGTCAATACGTTCACTATGTGAAAGGGTTTGCTCGTCTGAAAATATTAAGAGTTGAGTATTCAACTTTAAACTGCTGTCCCCTCGATAAGAATAATACTTACCAATGTAGGTATTTAGAGTTTCGCAGAAGTGTTTCATTCTTTTTGTATGTATCGAAAGATCTGTTTCAATCTTCCTACATCGTTCTTTAATATTATTTTTAACCTGTTGTCCAAGTGAACTGTTCCGCTGTCCTATTTCCCTGTGATTGAATGTCATTAACTGTTAATGCATTATCACAACGAATTACATTTCATACCAAAGAGGTAACTCACATTTTCCGAAAAATTTTATCATGAAGTTTATTAACATCCGTAGTAGCTGTATCAACAACCTCCAATACTGATTGTACTTGAGACAGAAGAATATTTTCGGTAGATGCGTGCTTCTCCACAAGATGCTTCTGCTCTTCCTTCTCTTGTTCCGAGACTGCCAAACGCGACGTTGTGTACATTAACGTATGCGTCGTTGTTTCCAATTGATTCTTTACATTTAAGAGTTCATTCGCTTGTTCAGAATTCTTTGATTTCAAATCGTTAAATATTTGCTGAAACAATAGATATAAGCTATAAATATCAGTATGACTTTATAAATTCCTTTTACTTGCGTGTACCTCTTTGTAGTGCAAGGTGTCTTCAAGCGCTTTAATGTGATTTAGTTTCTCCTCGATTTCTTTACTCTGAAAATCTATTAGCGATTGCATTTCGTTATAACTTTCTGGAGCTAAATACACGCCATTGCGTTCGCGAGTTGCAAACAAATCTTTCCTCAATTTCTCGATTTCTTCCGTGTATTCTTGAAGTAACGCTTTTTTCGAAAATTTCTGATTAATTTCTGGGCGATTCGTAATATTCTTCGCGCGATGCGCGTAATCCAAAGTGGACAATGTTTCTTCAAGATTAATGCTAGCAGGAGACACCGTAGCAATTATTGAAGTCCTCGTACGACCGCCTAGCGATTCTTGAAGTAATCGTGTTAACTTTGATTCTCTGTATGTTAAAAGAAATAGGATATTTAAATCTTGAACAGATTTTTAACATTTAATTTCTGTACTCTGTGACATTTTACCGATAGGGAATGTGTGGAGTCTTTTCTACGAGTGCCGTTATCACCCGACCTAGAGTTAACAAGGATTGATTAATATTGCCCGCCTCTCTTGCTCTTTTATCAACAGCTCCAGATCGTCCTATATTTTCGCTACCCGCTAAATCAACTAGATTTAGCTTTCCTGTCTTTAAGAGCTCCTCCCCATCAATGGTGTTCTCCTTTATGTGAACAGTGATAGAAAATATGGTATGAGATCGACTGAAAATGAACAATAAAAATGTTACATCTATCCAAGCAGAAATAATCGATAATTAAGTTCGATATAAACCTTGAACTAGCATTCATCAATGTGGTTGCTGTCTGCCGTTTCTGTGATCCTATCTGGAGGATTTTATATACGTCTCTTTTATTATATATAGTCACCTCCTCCAAACCATGCACTACTACCGCTCCCTTTTTAGTCGTATCTTCATATATCCTTTTCAAGTGTTACATACATTTACATTTAGCGAAACAAACTTTAATGGAAAGGCATAAATAATATAGTTACCTTATCTTGGCAGCTTCATCACTAACAGATAATAGATCGTATACTTCTTCATTATATAATTCTAAGAAGCTCACTCGAACCGAGTACTCTTGCACCCCTACGATACGTAGTTCATCAAAAAGATGACTTAAAGAGCGTGGTATAATCCCAGCATTGGTATCCTGCACATATTATACATATATTCTCCAGAAATTTGTAATGATTTCGAAGATTTAAATTAGATATCATTTTCCTTAACAATTTTTGCTTCTTATTATCTAATATAACATTTATAATCTATATGTACCGTTTGCCAGTGTAACATTGGATCATTATCAATTCCTTCCATGGTGAAGGTCTTCCCAGTACCAGTTTGACCATAAGCAAATACTGTACAATTATATCCAGCCAAAACTTCTTCCAGCAATGGACGGACAACTGCATTATATACTTCAAGCTACGGATTTATTATAAATGTTGAAAATATTTTCAAATACTTGTTGTTCTGTTATGTACATACCTGTTTCGATAAAGATCCAAATACCCTGTCAAAGGTGAATTTCTTTGTACGTTTATCGCATGGTCTTTCGCGAACAACTAATTCTTTAGTGGACGGTGTATCTACCACTGTCAACGATTTTCCAGCCCTTTCGATATCATTTATCGGTCTAGAGTGAAACAAAGTAACATCGATCAGAATAATGCAGTTATAAGTATGATCTTGTGAACAGCTTGATGCACATTTACCTGACACGAACAAAAACTTGTATATGTTGTTTTCTAACTTTCTTCCCGTTACGTGTATCGTTCATCTTCAACAAATAAATGTTTGTCACGTCTTGATCACTTTTCAATTATTCCTATTCACGTATTCGTTCACTGTTTATAAAATAACCCGTTGTCTTTCATCTGGTATACAAACGCTGCTTCGCGGTGTTAACCGTCAGAAAATTTAAATCGGAAGCTTCACGGAAATCCCGGTAGAGATCGCTTGAGTGACACAGCATTTCAATAATATCATCCCTTACACAAGTAAAACATTTAAATATTCCAAATAGAAACAGAAAAAAACAAATTATATAGGTATTTAATTATTTATTATAATTTATTTACATCAAACAATGATTATGCGACTATTTCATATATAACACAATAAAAAAATAAATTGTGATAAAAATAAGCTAAATTAGTTTACTTAGTCACATATAAATCAATTATTAATGAAAATTAACATTGATTTGATGATTTAAAGAAATGCTCCTTGTAATATTTCAGTTCTTGTATACTTTCTTTCACATCTGATAAAGATCTGTGATTTAATTGTTTTTTAGGTGCATTTTCATAAACCAAAGAATTCCATCTCCTTTAAAAAAATGTCATATTATAGTTAAGTAACATTCTTATAATAAAAATGCAATGATTCTTACCTTACAAGTTCTTTCAACGAAGATACATCAATAATTCTATAATGTAAGTAATCATGGACTAATGGCATGTGTTTTATTAAAAACAGACGATCCATATAAATTGTATTTCCAGCTAACGGGCAAATTCCCTTTGGAATATATTTCTTTAAAAAGTTCAGTAACATTTGCTCAGCTTCCTTTAGGGTAATGTTGCTACATTTACAGTCATGTGTTAAACCTGACTAAATTTATATGTAATTGTTATCAAAAAGAAGCTTAATTAAAATAACTTTTGTTTAAGAAATCCACTTACTTGTGCATGATGAATTTTAGACCATTCATTCATGTTTTCAAGAACTACATCTGGATGGTTAATTACAATTTCAAACTCTTCGCTAATTATATTCAAATTACAATCAGTTATTATACAAGCAATTTCTAGAATAGTATGGTTCTCTATATCAAGTCCTGTTAGCTGAAAGAAAACTGTATTATCTTCTTATAAGAAAGTATAAAGTTTATACACACATTACATACCTCCGTGTCCATCCATACTATATGAGCATCCGTGTCAGATCCCATGTTCTGTCTTGGCAATTACCATAAATTTCAATTACATTTAACAACAATGTAGAAGTATGTAAATATATAAGTACGTTTACTGATTCTATCGTTAATTTTCTATACTTAAAAAATATAATTTTACTTATGAATCATAAAAGTACGTAACAAAATTAAATTAAAAATTATTCTCTCATCTAATAAATCTCACAGTGGCAGAAGTGAAATAAATATTATCGTAAAATATAATATTTCAATGAATATAACACTAACTGACTTAAGCAAATTTTACTATACCTAATACTGGATACACATACATTTTAATATCTTAACAGAGCTTACAGTGAATACACTTTCTCAGGAACACGTGGATAACCAAATAAATATATTGTTGGTAATTATGATCTCTTTAATAAAAAAAGAGCCCTTCCGACCGTGTATTTTGTTGAGAAGCCTACGACAGAACATCAACAAAACGTTACAGAGAGTTGCTCTTTCGGTGACTCGATAAAGCAGATTTCTATATAGAATAAGGGTACATGTCTCTCAACATATTTTAGGTTATACGATTAATAAAATATAATTTTCATCTTTTACTTTCACTCAATGAATACAGCAAGGGGAATTAAATAAATATAAATAATTATATAAAAACACTATATTTATTTCACAACCTTCTGTTTATTCTATTGTTAAAATCTCAGTATGAATCTTCACAGTTGCACGTTAAATCTTTGAACTTCGGATGTAACCGTCATGTTTATCGTACTGATATAAAACATTCATAATCAGATACTTCAAATTCACATTTAACACGCATAATAAAAAATTGAAAGGTTTACACTCAAATTTTCAGTTAATAACATAACGCAACGTAACTTTTCAGTCATAAATTCAAGAATGCTTAACTCAACAATACAGATAAAATTGTATAAAGATTTTATTCTAATAAACAATCTGTACAGCTACTATAATCCAATGAATTTTAAGAATAAATTTAACGAACAGGTCAACATATTTGGAAAAGAACAATCAAGGATAAATCAAACTGCGCAATTAACAAAATAAAGACAATTTCGAAAATTCAATCTTTCACTGTTACAGTACATATATTAAATATCATCATCAAATCCATATTAAAAGATCACAGTACTCTCCAAGTTCCTAAAAACGCCAATTAGCAAAGTTCAGAATACAATGAAAGATAGACAAGAAAGTAGCGAATGGTGACTCGTTTCTTAAAAAAAATTGTTGGCCCTCAAAGGCCACCATTATATATTAAATATTACAATGATCCACAAGATCACAGTATTTTCCTAAGTACTCAAAACGATAATTAGCTCAGGATACAGTGAAGTATACAAGAGGACCAGCGAATGGTGACTAGTTTCTCATATAAAAAAAATTGGTAGCCCTCAAAAGGCCACCATATTAAATATTACAATAAAATCCACATTAAAAGATCACAGTACTCCTAAGTACCCAAAACGATAATTACTCAGGATACAGTGAAAAAAGGTACATATATAAGAGACCAGCGAATGGTGACTCGTTTCTTCGATAAAAAGAGATTGGTGGCCCTGAAAAGGGCCGTTTTTTATATGTCAGTAATTACAACTCCACATATGGGTAGAAGAGAAATTAAGCTCTCTCTCCACGGATTCTGCGGGCCAGTTGAATGTCCTTAGGCATGATGGTTACTCTCTTGGCGTGGATAGCGCACAGATTGGTGTCTTCGAAGAGGCCGACGAGGTAAGCCTCGCTAGCTTCTTGAAGAGCCATCACGGCTGAACTTTGGAAACGAAGGTCGGTCTTGAAGTCCTGGGCAATCTCACGGACGAGTCGTTGGAACGGTAACTTCCTGATGAGGAGTTCGGTGCTTTTCTGGTATCTACGGATTTCACGGAGAGCGACGGTTCCCGGGCGGTAACGGTGAGGCTTCTTCACTCCTCCGGTTGCGGGCGCACTCTTGCGAGCAGCCTTCGTCGCCAACTGCTTGCGAGGAGCTTTTCCTCCGGTGGACTTTCTGGCGGTCTGCTTGGTACGAGCCATATTGAACTTGAGCGAAGAGAAACTCGATGTGCTTCCGACGAAACGCAAAGGCTGATGTGAAGAGCGGCTCGGAACGCGCCGCTTTTATGCCCTGCACGACGCCAGCTGCGGCCGTCTGATTGGCCCGCGGCGCCATGGAGGGGGAAGCAACCGCCAGATGTCCAACGCAACCTGGAACGACCGTTACAAGCGTGTGGGGGAACCGACTTGATCGTACCGTGCCCCCCTGGCCCCACAAAAAATGTTTAAATCACAACTTTGACTTGACATTTGATAAATGTTTCTGATTGAAGATGACAGGATACGGGAAGGGTGGATCACTGATTGCAGGAAACAGTAAGTTCGAATAAACCATGGAAATTGAGTTATACGAAATATGCGAAGTTGGTGAAACTCGTACTTTCAAAAATATAGGACACGTGTAAGCGTTCTACAAGATGGGAAGGATTTTTAGTGTTAATTCCTTGGCCTATGATTTCTTTGCCAATTTTGATAGATATGATTGCTATATTATTAACCCTTTGCATTCCAAAAATTTGTTACTAGAAATATTCATTTTTATGAGATATAGATGACATTTTTTAAAATTAACTTAACGAGGAATCTATTCACAAAATAAGGAGAACAATGGTATTTTATTTCCACGTATCGATAAATTACTCAAGACTTAATGTTAAATATGAAATTTTACAGTTTTGATACACCAATCGAGTGGTGACTGAGGCACTTTGGAGTGCAAAGGGTTAATAATTTATTGGATAGAAATTCCAAGCATATGTTGTGCCTGTATTTCATTTTAAGTATAATAGTTGATTATGGAGGAATGATATTTACTTTGAATTCGAATGAACTGAGTAATATATATTTGTTGAATCATGTTGAATCATGTTGAGAATTTTTACTACCAGTCTCACTTGTAGGACAAGGAATTGAGGAGTCCATCTATACCTCACTGCTCAAGGCTTACAATTATAACCATGGGAACCTACTCATAAAAATATAGGAAAGTGTAATATATAGAGAATATTATTAAAAATCAAGATAAATCTAAACATGTGGCTCTAAAAGAGTACGAATAACTAAGGTAAATGTAACAACGTGTAACGGTAAATAAAGAAACAGATTATTTAACAATTTTCTTGTTACAATAAGTTGAGGCATGCTGATAATTATCTGAATTTCACTGCAGGTAGAAAGGCCAATGCTCTCAAGAACTACAAAAGAGGTAGAGATAAAGTTTCAGGTAGAGTCAAACTGATAGTAATATCTCTGAAGGTATCTAAATACATTAAGTATTTAATGAGTCATATATAACCATACAGTAAAGTAGTTTTACTAGAACTACCTTACTACTCACAATGACTGCTGTCGGTTCTTGTTCCACAATTATTGATACGCTAAAAGCATTGAAATGATTTTGAGAATAATTTCACTCGAATACTACAATGAACATTTTCGTTAACATTTTTATAGGGATCATATACCAATCGTATTAAATTCTCGGTAGTTCTATTGTCGAGTAAGGAAGTAATAGTCATAAATTATCTGAATTGAACCTAAGAAACATAAAAGTAAGTTGAACGGGAACGAGACTTTCCAACGTGGAATGAAATTTAGTGGCCCTGAAAAGGGCCGTTTGCTTGGCGCTTGAACAAGCTTGTATCTATTGAATTCCAACTGTATTTCATTTCGAACTTGTATATTTAGTAACAGCCTTGGTGCCTTCGCTGACCGCGTGCTTCGCGAGCTCGCCGGGCAACAACAGTCTGACCGCCGTTTGAACCTCCCTCGACGTAATGGTGCTGCGTTTATTGTAATGCGATAATCGTGCTGCCTCGGCGGCGATGCGTTCGAATATGTCGTTGACGAAGCTGTTCATGATGCTCATCGCTCGGCTCGAGATGCCGGTGTCCGGATGTACTTGTTTCAGAACCTTGTAGATGTAAATCGCGTAACTCTCCTTTCTCCTCCTCTTCTTCTTCTTCTCCAAGTCAGATTTATTCATGCTGATGTTCTTCTGTGCCCTCACTGGTTTCTTCATTGATTTCCCCGAAACTTTCGGTGGCATGATAACGACGGACGGGGAACAGTCTTACGGCGCGGTGCAGCTAACACGAGACAAAACCAGCGAACGGAAAATAAACGGTAAACAATGAATTCGTCGATAGCGAGACCGATATTCAACTCTAATACTGTGCAGGTCGATACGATCTCCCGCTTTTATATCGCGAACCGGGTCCACCGGCCGCTTCAATTGGGTAACCCGTACACGTATCCTTCGTCTTCCCATTGGACAAGATTTCGCGCACACCTGAACGCGTTTCTAACGTTTTCCAAAAGTCCAAACCTGTCGACAACAACACCGATTTCGCTCGCCCCGGCTGGGCACGACCGCTGCCGAGCAATGTTTTGTTTTCGGGACGTTCGCAGAAAACGAACCGATTCGAATGTTCCTTGTGTCTTCCGTTGATCGTCAGGAAACGATCTTCGCGGATCGCTCTAGGAAAGTCTCATTCTGTTCCAGGATTCGCGTCCAGTGATTTAATCGTGAAGGAATCACGATGCGTTTGAAAACGAACCGATTCGAAAATCCCTGTCTTTCGTTGATCAGTCGTTATTCGAGGGAACCGTTGATCGTCAGGAAACGATCTTCGCGAATTGCTCTAGAAGTCTCGTTCTGTACCAGGACCCACGTCCAGTGATTTAACCCTTTGCACTCGGAAGTTTCTCACTAGAAATATTTAACAACTTTCGACGAGACAAAGACGATATTCTTTGAAAATAACTCGAACAGAAATCACAAGTACCGAGGAACTAGAAGCTATTTCTAGTCTCTCTAAGAGTCTCGAGTGCAAAGCGTTAATTGCGAAGCGCGTCTGATTTTGTTTCCAAGTTAACCCTTTGCACTCGGAAGTTTCTCACTAGAAATATTTGAACATCTGACGAGATAAAGACGATATTTTGTGAAACTAACTCGAAGAGAAATACATACATTGAGGAGAAAAGCTATTTTATTTCAATATTTCTCAAATCGATGCGTTGTACAAGGTACAATATTAAATATCAAATTCCATAGTTTCCCTTATGAAGTCCGGTGGTGAGTCACCTCTCGAGTGCAAAGGGTTAATTGACGTTTAACCCTTTGCACTCAGAGGTTTTTCGCTGGGAATATTGTAACACTTTCTGATTAAGTAAAGACGATATTCTGTGAAACTAACTCGAATCGTACGCACATTGAAGAACAAAGTTATTTTATTTCAATATTTCTCAAATCGATGCGTTGTACAAGGTACAATATTAAATATCAAATTCCATAGTTTCCCTTATGAAGTCCGGTGGTGAGTCACCTCTCGACTGCAAAGGGTTAATCATGACGGAATCACGATGCCTTTGAAAAGTTGCGACGTCACGAATCGATTCCACGAGGGAGCAGGGAAATTGTTCCTCGCCTAGCCATCTACGTCGCGGAGAACGCGTGCAGCCCTTAACAGCGGGAAAGGGACGAACCCCTGCTGCGCACCATGGAGGGTCGACTTTCAAGGATTACTGCGTTCCATCGTCCCAACTGCGTTTCAGCGATCGCATCTTTGTCTCCGGTAAAATCAGCCTTGCATAGTTTCCACGTTAACCGTTGACCTCCCGCTTTTCCGGAAGTAGCAATGCCCGAAGTGACAAAGAGTCCCACGGAGGTAAGGAAGCATTTAGCCCAGATCCATATATTTCTAAATTGTCTTTACGACTTCTAGCCCTGCAATTATAAATCCATCAATTACGAACCTTGGCCCGAGGATCTTGACCTGGACACGTTAACCCTCTTTGACCGACGGCTACCTCTAGATGTACCGTTAACGTTCCACTTGCAGCAGGGTAAGTGGATGTCGGGGGTGGGTATATATATAAAAATCCGAAGTGCACTGATTCTGCACAGTCCATCATGACTTCTGCAAACGTTAAGTCTGTTTCCTTCGTCGTTGTCGCCCTGACGGTTGTCGGCAGTGTCCTTTGCAGTCCGCTGTTGATCGGTTCCGCGCTCGTCGTAAAACCGAACGCGCCGAGCAGCAGTCTCTCGGGTAACCAGAGCAGCAGTGATTTGGGACACTTTCCTGGAGCTGAGGAAGGTAGGTCGCTGGATACGAAACACGTATTCTTAACCCTTTGTACTAGTAAAACTATAAAATTTGATATTTAATATTATAACTTGTACGACGCATCGGTTTGAGAAATATTGAAATAACATAGCTTTGTTCTTCAATGTACGTGCGATCTTCGAGTTAGTTTCAAAGAATATCGTCTTTGTTTTGTCGAAAAATGTTAACCCTTAGAACTCGATTTGATACAGCAAAATTATAAAGTCTTATATATAATATTAAGCTTTGTATAATGCATCGATACGTGGAATATTGAAATAAAGTAACTTTCCTTCTTAATTCATATATGTTTTCTCATTAATTAGTTTCAAAGAAGATCGTCTGTATCCTATCAGAAAGTGTTGCATATTTCTAGTGAAAAACTTTCGACTGCAAAGGGTAAAATATTTCTAATGAGAAACTTCCGAGTGAAAATGATTAATATTTAAGCATCCATATCTTCCATTGGACAGTTGTTTTTTAATTAAAACGATGTTTGATCAGCAGATGACGCAGACACGGACAGGATAGTCGGAGGGAGGTACGCGAGGAGGCATCAGTTCCCGTTCATGGCTGTGGTGCACCGGCTATTGGGCGGAGGCTACGTCGCACAATGCGGCGGAACAATTATCTCTCAAAGATGGGTGCTGACCGCCGGCCACTGCGTGTCGCAGGACCCGCCGCGGAGATTCATCGTGGTATTCGGCGTTAACGATAAATCCGGCTTAGGGTACGATTTCTACCAAGGATCGGGAGTCGCCATGATGACGGAGAGAGGCGCTCTCCACCCAGGCTACCGACCATCCGTGAACGACGTCGGCTTGCTGTACATGCCGCGCGATATTCCGTTCGGACGTAAGGCAAACAGAATTACCATAGAATAAGCCATTCGTGGATTAGCCCTTCGCGGACGAAGATTGTTGGAAGCATACAAAACCTGCAGATTCTGCTGAATTAAACACTGAATGCTTAAATCGTAGAGAATAAGGGAACTCTGAAATCAGTAGATTTCTTGCTGTCCCAATAGTTAAATCATTTGTTGAAAGCATAGAAAATCTTCTGCAGATTCTGCTGAATTAAACACTGAATGCTTAAATCGTAGAGAATAAGGGAACTCTATACTGATTTCTTGCTGTCCCAATAGTTAAATCATTTGTTCGCAACTTGGTATTCCAAGCGTGGAAGTTTGATCTCGGCAGAATACCGCCAATCATTCGTAAAGGGTTAAAGGGATTAACCCATTGAATGCTGCTGATGTCTGAACACAGAAGCTTAAAGTAGAGTCATGATGCAAATGGGTGAACTTCGTTTCTGAAACTTTTAGTACCTTAGTCATAAAATATATAATCGTCTCTGTGTGTAGATATGTGATTTCCTCCAAGTTTGCTATTCTTAGTTTTATGGAATTGATTGCATTGGCAAATGAATGACTCGAATTAAAACTAATGGGAATTATCGCATTTGTAGGAAACATTCAACCTATTCGGCTAGCAGGACCAAGTCAAGCGTACGAAGATTTTGCTGGAATGAAGGCCACCGTGATCGGATGGGGAAAAGATCAATCTACCGGCGTGGGAACAAAGTACCTGAAGTACGCCACTCTACCGATTATTTCTAGCTCGCAATGCAGCATCTACTGGAATATTATTCCGAAGAAACATGTGTGCACCGTCGCAGGATATGGATCAGATGCGTGCCAGGTAAACGAAGACATTTAGAATTACATGGTTGTAACACTAGAACTACCTGAGTCACATTCACTTTACCTACTCTGCTTGTAAAATCCCTAAAACCGCATCTATTGAAATTTTGAATGGGTTATAGCTCAGTTTGTTGAATCAACTTTAGCAATTTCTCAGAGAAACATTTATTACCTCTTCAATTGGAAAGATAGAAAAGAAATTAGTAATTAGTCATTTTAATCTATCTGGTAGTTCTAGTGTTAGCTTATTCACTCCTTTTCAAGGAGGCAGTAAAGTTTTCAAGGAACTTATTGCTTACTAGATTACTGGAAGCTATAGTTTATTGCTTGCTAGAAATGCTTATCCCATGGGATTACAAAAATGTCTGCTACTGGGGAACTGTAGAGGCTTAAACGCGATCCCTTCTAAGCACCGCACTCCCATAAGCCCCGTCCGCAGTTTGACGATCCTTTTTTTCTGTTTAGATACACTTGACTTGAACAGTTGTTTTTTTTATGTTATGTTTATGGTGTTTTTAAAAGTCTGTGGAACACTCGGCTCATACTTTACTTCATATTTGCAGGGCGACAGCGGCGGTCCATTGATCGTCTACAAAAATGGTGCTCCCCTTCAAATCGGAGTCGTCAGCTACGGAGACGCAAATTGCCCCAGCAGCAGACCCGGCGTTTTCTCGAGGGTGACAGGCTACATCGATTGGATTCAACAAGTTACAGGACTATACTATGGCGACCAGTGATATTAGTCATTTAAAAATGCGTCGAACGCCTAGACCATCATTTATACTTGTAAATAAATAAATATGCAATGCAGTTTTTGAAGATCCATGTTGTGCTTTCCTGCGGCGTTCCAAAATATTAATAAATATGCACCATCGGATAATTTTCCGATGCACAAGCTGTACCATAAATTTCATGTTCATCTACATTCATGTTCACTGTAAAGCATGGCAACTAATAACACAGAAATAACATTTAATTCAAACTCAAAATAATTCAGTGCCATTTACATACTTTCAACTCTATGCGCTCAAGAGATACTGCAAAATTATAGAATCTGATATGAAAGTTTACTATAAAAACTATTGAAATAAAATATTTTTGTTCCTTTACATGTAATTTCTCTATAAGTCAGTTTTCAATAATGTTATCTATCTTATCACAAAAGGTTGAATATTTCTAATGAAAAACTTTCGTTAGAGATCCTTCCAATATTTATAGCAGACAGTTCAATGTATTTAAATTGTCAGACCTGTCGAGTCGTTTCCGGATTAACCGATGAGAGAAAAAAATGGCGGTTATTACGCCTCGGATGGAAAATTTCCTTTTATGGCGGCGCTGCGTCGCATATTACCGGGTGGGGCGGCTTCCCAATCTGGCGGGAACGTAATTTCGGGGCGGGTCGCTGCGTCTACAAGTTCCCGCGTAAATTCCTGGTCGTGTTCGGCACTGCCGACAAGTCGGGAATACGATACGACCGCTAACATGTTCCCAGCGTCTCCATGATCACGATGCACATCGTCGTTCATCCGAAATATTATCATGCCACGAACGACGATCACGCTTTTGTACATGTCAGACACACCATACAATCGTACATAAAAATCTATTAATTATATGGAAGCAACAGGCACTGGAGTATTTTCATGGTACACGAAAATCGAAAGCATTGTCTTCCGGACAAACACATATGGTTATAGTTGAATTTTTATTTGTCGATGTAGTTTACATCGGACAAATTACTGCAGGAAATGAACAATTGTATATTAACATTAAAACTGATAGGACTACTACATTCTTTTACAACTATTCAACCAATGGTTTTTGAAAATACTGCAGGAAATGAACAATGGTATATTAACATTAAAACTAATAGATAGGACTACTTCATTTTTTTACAAGTATTCAACGAATGGTTTTTGAAAATACTGTACACGCGTTCAGTGCCACGTGTACCACATATGGTACACACCAATTTCTATAAGACAATATTTTTAAGGGACACATGGTCAAGATCAGATGTGAACATTACAAAGCACCAAAAACAATACGAAAATATATAAAAATGAAAAACTTGAATATGACTGAATATTTTATTTAAAAAATAGAGACAAGTACAATAATCGAATTGCCCAGTAACTGTCGAATATCGAATCGAATAAACGTCGATATTTCGGTTTGTATATAAAGTACACTAATCAACTTAATTTCCCGGTGATGGTAGCATTAATAGGCTGTATGGTAAACGAATAAACATATATATTTCGGTTTGTATATGAAGTACACTAATCAACTTAATTTCCCGGTGATGGTAGCATTAACAGGGTGTATCGTAAACGAATAAACATCGATACCGGTCACAGAACACGCGCGGCACGTTCGAAGAAAGGTTAGGTTGGCAAGCTAGGCTTCAACGGACGCTCTTGTTCTCAGAAAAAATTCTACCCACACAGCTAGCCGGTTCCAACGGCGGGAGAATCCCTTGTTGACACGACCGGATACGCAGCGGAGCGGGGAAGGGCGGAGAGACGGGCTCAGGTACAAAGGCCCTAAAGTGCGCTGCGCTGCCTATAATCGGCAACGACGAATGCGGTCGGACCGGGCAGATAGACGGAAGGAAGGTGTGCAAGGCAAACGGCCTTGGACGAAATGCCTAGAGGTATGATGAATTTTACAGGGAAACGCCATCGTGTGTTTTCACCTTTAACCCTTTGCACTCGAGAGGCGCCTTTCAGTCGCCATTTGATTTGACCGAGCAAAATGATAAAATAAGATTCAATGTTGAATTTTATGTAATGTATCGACACGTGCAACATCGAAATGAAATAGTTCTGTCACTTAATTTAGGCAAGGTATTTCTTTTTGTTAAAATAAATGATATAAATATAAATATCAATGATATTTCATCAGAGAATAATGAATATTTGTCGAGAAAAATATTCTCGAGTGCAAAGGGTTAATTTCCTGGCTGCCCGGTCAACTGCGCAGAGCGATAATGGCGGTCCCTTTTTATCCTGAACTACGCCTCCAAAGTGTTCGAGTTCGATTTCGTTACATTCGTTTTTTTATTTTTTTTATTTTCTTAGCTTTATAATCGAGTTGTAGGAAATGATATGATTGCTTGGTTAAAACGTCTCTTATGCTTTATGAGAATTCAATTGCAGTTCAAAAAGCTGGTTGTGACGCATTTGCATGCTCGGTGGACAATGTATTGACAATATTATTGAAAAAAATAGGAATATATAGATTGGCGTCGAATCTTCTGTAAAATTGTTGAATTTAAACTGTCTTGGAAATAATGAGTGATTATCTTAGAAAGGATTAAACGAATTGATGTTAAAGAAATGGGATCATGGGATATTTAGTATAGACTCGAAGCTAGGTTAGGTGTTAAAAAATCCAAAGGTTTCTGGAATCTTCACGTATTTAGAAGTAATCATACAGAAAAGATTAATATTTCAGAGGCTGCTCGAAAATTTCCTTCATTAGTGTTTCGAATTTTTCTGTAGAATGTATTAACATAATGATACAATGTACAGAAAATATTTCGTGTTAATAAATATGAGAGATATTCCTAGTGAAATTAGTGGCTCTGAAAAGAGCCGATTTGTGTTTCCTTTTTGTAGGTTCTTCTGTTAGAACTGACAGAAAAATGAAAATTATATGATTTAAAGAGAAGGAACTTGTAAGGCAAGGATTTTATTTTCTATTCTGTATATTCTGCGCTATTTCTCTTACGAGTCGTTCGAAAGATTTTTTAGGGATCAATAACTTGGTACTCTTTTGATAACGGCGTACCTCCTTGAGAGCTTTTGTTTCCACCGGTTTTTTATTCTTCTCTTTAATTCTATTATACTGATTAATACGCGTCATTTTAACAGAAAACTACGAAAACCAGTTTTCGTCAACGATCAGCTGTGGATTGGAGCAGATGTTACGCAGCTACCTCTATTTATGCCCTCGGTATTCATACGTAACAGCTGCTCATTGGTCACCAGAATGGAGGGGATGGAGTTGCTCCGTACCCTAGAAAAGCCTCCAAAAACGGACTTGTGATTATCAGAATCAAAACACTAAAATTGATATCATAAACCAATGATATCATAAACCACTGCTACAAACCACCTCCTGCATTTTTCAAGTCATCAGGTTTTTTCAAAGTTTTACCCTGATACCACATGAAATCAAGTACACATATATTCCAGCACTCAAGATGCTGTAACACACATCTCCCTAGATAAATCCTGGTAAGGACCAAATGTCCCTGGTACAGGCATCCCTACTCAAAAGAAAAACGATTGAAAAAAAAAACTTCTGATTATCAGAAGAGTTTTGTCTTCGAAGAGTCAGTACCGTGTTTAAACAACTTTCAGGACAATTGCTTAAGGAAACGATGTTCAATTGAATTGCAAACCCTTGATCCTTTGAAATTTATCTTTGTTGCTCTGAAAACGTGAAGACGAGTCCTAACCTCTTATGCCGGCATTTATTTTGTAACAAATTGTAGATATATTAATGCACATTTTAAATATATTAATATTGAATACTGTAAAAATTAATTTGTTGGGTTAACGTAATAATGTATAGTGACAGATGTAATGTACGTAGTATATGTGCTTTATTGTTTTCTAGTAGATTCATTATTAAGTAGCACGATCAAATATATGATAGATTTTATTTGTATGCAAGTATTATCGTCACTGTTCATTGTATTTAATTCTTAAGAATTATGTCTTACTGTATTGTATTTTTAGTGTTAAAGTGTTTCATGTAATGAAATACGTTGTTACGTTAAATTGCATATCGTTGTGAGATCATCAATAAATGTTTCCAGTCTATAGACATTTCTTTGTTTGCGTTTTAATGAGATATCCGAATATCGACGCGAAAAGTGATGCACGATGGCAGCAAACAGCGTTGCCATGTCTCGCTGTCTGTGCACCTCACACTGTGTAAATTCTTATAGCGTACAACGTTGCCACACGTGATTTTATCAACGAAAGATCTATAACCGCTTCTGCCTTTACACCATCAGACATAGGATAAATAAAAAAAATACTAATGAGCATTCTGACAAAATATTAAATTGAATATTGTTAGATCCATAATTCCATGGAAAGTACAATCACATAGCATACATTCTTCTGATAGAACATAACCTTAAACATACGTGCATATAATATTCACATTGCTAAGTTTTGAGAAAATAGAATGGTTTCAAGATTACAGATAGTCATTATAGAGGCCCCCATTTCGTCCGTTCAACTTCGAACTTCGAACTGATAGAATTATTCAACAAAAAATATTTCGAGTATGTCAATTATAACTTCGACAATATCAGTTAGACTTCAGAAATGTTTCATTACGGTTACGTATAATCTCAGATCAAACGTCCAACAGGTTAAAGTCACGAATATTCAATTACTTATGTTACGTGAATTTGAGATCATTATTTCTGTTAGAAGAAATTGGTAGCCCTGAAAAGGGTCGTTTGTTTTGAACACTTAGTATACTCTTTCTGTTTAGGAGAGGCAAGCAATCGTCTTTCTTGCCCTGTCTTGTATGGCTATATTTCATCATTGTTTACTGTCCATGATGACTCCTAGGTATTTAACTGTCGCGGGCTATGGAATTTGGCAGCCTAGGATTGTTAGGTTAGAGACCGTTATGGGTTTTTTTCTGATGAAGGTGATTGGCTTGAGTTTCAGCTGGATTGGCATTTAGTCTCCAGTCCTTAAAATATGTTATTATTATAGGTGTATTTGTGAGTATTTTAGCTGCTTGTGATTGGCTCTATCCTTTGCGAAAAAGAAGCGAAAAGAAAAAGAAAGTAGGTTTTTGAGTTTTCGGACATGCCATTTATAAAGATTACGCGCCCGCGTGCCACACACGCCCCTTTTATACCCTGTCTAGCGCCAGCTGCAGGCCTCTGATTGGTCCGCGCTCGATGGAGGGGGAAGTACCGACATATGTGACGCATACACCTAAACGACCGTTGGAAAGTAGAGGGGAGCTGGAGCGTAACCATATAAAAGAGTCCCCTCCAAAAAAATCTTCATAACACAACTCGCTTTGACTTCACATTTGATAGACTGTTCTGATCCAAGATGACTGGTCGTGGAAAGGGAGGAAAGGGTTTGGGAAAGGGAGGCGCGAAGAGGCACAGGAAAGTGTTGCGTGATAATATCCAAGGTATCACCAAGCCCGCTATCCGCAGGCTGGCAAGAAGAGGTGGCGTTAAAAGAATCAGCGGCCTGATCTACGAAGAAACACGTGGTGTACTGAAAGTATTCCTGGAAAACGTTATCCGCGATGCTGTCACTTACACGGAGCACGCCAAGAGGAAAACCGTTACAGCTATGGATGTCGTGTACGCCTTGAAACGACAAGGCAGAACCCTGTACGGTTTTGGAGGTTAAAATTGACGCAGAGATTAACATATTACAATCGGCCCTTTTCAGGGCCACCAAATGATTCCAACGTGTGAACACTTCCGGAGTTAACAGGGACACTTATATTTTATATTTTTAGTTTATTATTTCTATGAACAGATATTTAAATTTGTTCATTATATCTTCACTGTAATCGCGATTAGATACTTTGTTCAATGTAGCATCAATTAACCTTTACCACTCCAGATAGTTTTGTAATCATCAACTGCAACTAATTTTTATAGTATCCCCAGCGAAAATGAGAAATGCTATCACATTTCTTAGATCTTTTATTTTCCTTAGTGCAAAATTTGGATATGTAGGAAATCTAATAATTGTAGGACAGTTTCAAGATTCATTAAAATATCTAATATTCCTGGTGCAATACTGGAACCTACAGAGTTCAAAGTGTTAAATACTACAATGTTTTGGAGCAATAGAGTAAGGTCTATATTGCAATACTATAGGCTGAGATGATAGGGAAAATTAAAATAAATACACTGACGTAGAACAGGATAGCTGAGGGTAGTTCGCGAGGAGACATAAATCCTCGTCTATGGCTGTGGTGCACCGATTATTAGAGAAAGCACGTGAACACCTTAGCAACTCGAAACTTTCAGGGCGATGACGGCGGTCCATCGATCGTCTACGAACATTGTGCTCCTTTTCAGAGTCGTGAGCTACAGTAATGGAGACTGTCCACAAGCAAGCCGGGCGTTTTCTCGAGGGTAACAGACTATTGATTGGATTCAACAAGTCATGGAGCTGTACCACAAAAGAGATGAATAATATTACTTGACAAATGTAACTTTTGTAAATAAATATATGACGTATTTATGATACCTTTCATCGCGTTTCTTTACTCAACCAACAGAAATGATTAGCAATGATATAAAAATAGATAAACTATGAGATCTAACCTTTGCACTCCAGAAGTTTTTCATGGGAAATACTCTATATTTTTTAAAGAGATGCAGATGAGATTTTCTGAGATTGAGTTGAAGAAAATTATTTTCTTTCAATGTTTCGTATACTGATGCATTATACAAAGTTTAATATTAAATATCAAACTTTAGTTTTGCTCTGTCGAATCATCTGGCGACTGTGGCGCCTCTGGAATGCGAAGGGTTAAGGGTGAAGCATTCGGAGGGCAATGCTCTTTTTTATTCTTCTGTATATTCTGCGTTGCTTCTATTAGACATTGCTGGGAAGTTTGTTAGTGATCAATGCTTTAGTACTCTATAAAGAATTTCTTTGAGAGCTCAATTCTTTAAACCTCTACGACAATACTTTTCATTGCGAACATTGATGATTTTCTGACGCAATATTAACAATATTATTCGCAACTTACATAAAGAAATATCTTGACATAAATTATGATTTTATTTTATAATCTTGCTGCGTTCAAGTGGCGAGAGTCGCCTCTCGATTGCAAAGGGTCAATGTTCATTCTTTTTCAAGTCTATTATATTGATTAGCGAGAGTAATTTTAAGAGAACATTGCAAGAAACAGGTTTCATCAACAATCAATGTCGAATTGAAGCAGACGTTACGCAGCGACCTGTACTTATGCTCTCGGTATTATGACGTGGCAGCTGCTCATTGGTTGACGGAGCGGCGGTGGGGATGGACTGCTTCGTTTCCTATAAAAGGCTCCGAAAACTGACCCGTCATTATCAGAAGAGTTTCGTTCTTCGAAGAGTCAGTACTGTGTATAAACAACTTTCAATATGACTGGTCGCGGTAAGGGAGGAAAGGGATTGGGAAAGGGAGGAGCGAAGCGTCACAGGAAGGTATTGCGTGATAACATCCAGGGTATCACGAAACCTGCGATCCGTCGTCTGGCTCGTCGTGGTGGTGTCAAACGTATATCCGGTTTGATTTACGAAGAAACTCGCGGTGTGCTCAAAGTGTTTCTCGAAAACGTCATTCGAGATGCCGTAACGTACACTGAGCACGCCAAAAGGAAGACGGTAACGGCCATGGACGTCGTCTACGCCCTGAAGAGACAAGGACGCACTCTGTACGGTTTTGGAGGTTAAGCCGGACATCTACGACGTACGATTACCTGCGATCGTCAATCAAACGGCCCTTTTCAGGGCCACAATTGTTTAACATAGAAACGCTGTTCAATTTAACTGCAAACCCTTGATCCTTTCAAACAAATCTTTGTTGCTCTGAAAACGTGAAGACCTTCCTAACCTATCATGCCGGCATTTTGTCACAAGTCGTAGATATATTGAGTTAACATTCTAAATAGGCGATATTAAATTGTTTCAAAATTGATTTGACTTTGTTAGGTTAACGTGTACCAAGACAAAATATATTGTGTGTAGGATTTCGTACTTTTGGAGTACTATTTGATATAAAATATTTCCCCTTTTACGAATACTGGTGCCATCTGTCCTCTCAAAATATATTAATAAATGCTTTTAGTCTACATATCTTTGTATTTGCAATTATTGAGAAGTCGCTTATCGAGAAGAGTGATACAGGACGGAAATAGTCGGCGTTGCCATGTCTCATTGTGCCTATACACCTCGTACTTCTCTGTTGTACATGTACAACGTTGCCGAACTTTATAGCAACGCTGATTTGTGATTTCCTTCTACCCTCAAATCGTCAGACATACGAATCAATAAAGAACATACGAATGGCTTTCCTATTCCTTCAGTACGACGTTTAGAAGAAAGCTTAAACTTGAATTCTCTTGTCATGTCCGTACCATAGAAAATATAATACCACAAATTGTCACAGAACCTAACCTTAAATATATTCACATACATTTCCATTGAACTCTTTTCTCTTCCACTGTATTTGAAGACTTGTTCATCCAATAAAACCGAGTGTTAAATTGAAATATATCGAAATTACGTTTATTTAGATAATTATCATGAACTATTTTAGGAAAAAATTTGTCGATACGAATATGGTGAAGATCAGGTTTCCAATAGATAAAGATACCAATATTAAATTACTATGTGAATTTGAGATAATTATTTCTATGTTCGAATAAACTGGTGGCCCTGAAAAGGGCCGTTTGGTTTATCGAGTCAAGATTAAGCTTTCTTTTCCGTCTTCTTCGGCAGGAGGACCGCCTGAATGTTTGGCAAAACGCCACCTTGCGCTATCGTTACTCCGGAGAGTAACTTGTTCAATTCTTCGTCGTTACGGATGGCCAATTGCAAATGACGAGGGATAATTCTCGTCTTCTTGTTGTCACGAGCCGCGTTACCGGCCAACTCTAGGACTTCAGCAGCCAAGTACTCCATTACCGCGGCCAGATAAACCGGAGCACCAGCGCCAACGCGTTCGGCATAATTCCCTTTTCTCAAAAGACGATGGATACGACCCACCGGAAATTGGAGCCCGGCCCTATTCGAGCGAGACTTTGCCTTTCCCTTGACTTTACCGCCCTTTCCGCGCCCAGACATGTCGAGTAGTATTCAATTGATACAACAAGAGCTAACGACGAAGAGTCTCTCGATTTTAAATTTTCTTCCGACGCGCAGCCTTATATACTACCGTCCGGCAGCAACTGGCCGACCAATCGGAGCGCACACCTGTCATTGGTGGGGGACGCCGACCTCCGATTGGTGCACGCGCGCTACTCCGTTTCTACATAAATAGCTGCGAGAAACGTTGTCGCTCTACTCGACGCAACGCTTTCGTATCAGTACGAATTCTGTGAAGAAACTACCAATCGACGATGCCGCCGAAAACCAGTGGGAAAGCCGTGAAGAAAGCTGGAAAAGCTCAGAAGAACATCAGCAAGGCTGACAAGAAGAAGAAGCGCAGGAGGAAGGAGAGCTACGCGATCTACATCTACAAAGTCTTGAAGCAGGTTCATCCCGACACTGGCATCTCCAGCAAAGCCATGAGCATCATGAACAGCTTCGTCAACGATGTCTTCGAACGCATTGCGGCCGAAGCGTCTCGTCTGGCTCATTACAACAAACGCTCCACGATCACGTCTCGGGAAATCCAGACCGCCGTTCGTCTGCTGTTGCCCGGTGAACTCGCCAAGCACGCCGTCAGTGAAGGCACCAAGGCTGTCACCAAGTACACCAGCTCCAAGTGAACACTCGATCACTTTCTTAAACCGGCCCTTTTAAGGGCCACAAATATTTTAAACGTGGATAATCTCTCGTTTCTACTATAAAATCCTTGTTCCTTGCATTGCTATGAAAGTTGTGATCTCACAAGAACAATTTGTGTACCAGCGTTACTTTGAACATCTCTAGTCAAAATGTTTCCTAATAAAGAATAAACCCAAAATGTTTCCTAATAAAGTATATACCCGAATAAGGAAGTAGAGTAACGCGAAGTTAGAATCCTTTCAGACTAAATACTTCAGTCGGTTTGAATAAGCTTCTTATCTTAATGATATAAAGTTATCTATTCTGATCCTCTTATCTACAATTCGAAAAGCATTTCAATTGTGAGCGCAAAGTTTTTCTTTAAACAGTAGTGAACCCCGACTCTAGAAAATGAGAGAGTCATTCAGGAAGGAGCAGGATAGACGTTCGTCGAGCACAGGGGGTCGCAACTCGATACTGCGAAGGGACACCGAACAGTTTCAAATTTCCTACTCTTATATCCGCAAAACTTATGCTCATGATACTAACGTAGTTTGAATGATTTCAAGCCTACCGGGGGTGGGTTTGACCGATCACTTGGAAAATATTAAAAACGACGAAAGAACTTTTAATTCGAAGTTACATTTTTATTATTGATTTATAATTGATTGATATTGAAAAGTATACAGATCAAATTGCTTCAGATCGCGAAGCCTTATTCTAAAATTTGAAGGTTAGACTACCCCTTAGCACCTCAAAAACAAATTTCAATAAACATTTTATCCTCTCTATATCATATACAAAAGTAATGGTTGTGAATAAAAACAGAAACATCGTTGAAAAATCAATATTTATTTTGCCTCGAACCTCCGTCGGTCGATACATGTATGTACAAGTCCTATCGAGTTATATCTACATACGTCGTATAAAAAATCTTCTATAGGTTATGTATTACTTATATGGTACGCATTTATCACAGTATGTTCCCTATAGTAGAAAATATGTCCAGTGTAATACTGTTTACTAGATTGTCTGAAAATTGTTCCTTGTCGTAAGTGAATTTGTGGCCCTGAAAAGGGCCATTTGTTTCTCAGTGTCGTCGCCAGATCCTCCGCGGCGTGATTACTTTTTAGCCGAGGCTTTGACAGTCTTCGAAGCAGCGGCCTTCTTCGGCTTCGGAGCTTTGGTCTTGGCGGCGGGCGCTTTCGCTGTCTTCTTGCTCTTCGACATCGCCTTAGCGTCGGGCGAAGCCTTCGGTTTCTCGGCTTTCGCGGGCTTTTCGGTTTTGGCGGGCGACTTCTTGGCGGCCGCCGATTTCTTCGCGGCCTCGGCCTTCTTCACGGGACTGGCGGGCGCCTTCTTCGCTGCCGCGGGTTTGCGAACCGGCGTCGTCTTCTTCTCAACGGATTTCTTCGGCTTTTTCGCCTCGGCCACCTTCACGGTCCGCTGCACCTTGCTCTTCGTCTCGCCGCCCTTCGCCACTGACAATTTGAACGAGCCAGACGCGCCTTTACCCTTGGTCTGCACGACAGCGCCAGACGTGACAGCCGACTTCAAGTACCGTTTGATGAAAGGCGCCAACTTCTCTCCGTCCACTGTGTACGTCGAGGCGATGTACTTCTTGATCGCTTGCAGGGACGAGCCCTTGCGGTCCTTCAGCTCCTTGATGGCGGTGGTCACCATCTCGGACGTCGGTGGATGAGAGGACTTGCTCTTCGATGCTTTCGCCGATTTCGACTTCGGCGCCGTCTTCTTCGCCGGAGTGGCGTTCCCGCTCTCGGACTCCATCGATGTGTTTCCAGCGTTCGCCTTGTCCTCCATTATAATTTTTTCCTTCACTCCTTTCTCACCGATTGTACGCACAAAACTCTCTTTTTCTCGTTGCGTAGCTTCGCAAATACCGCCAAACGAGTGGACGAGCGTTGCTTTGATCCTTCGCAGGGGTGAGCAAGTTTGACGCATAAGCGGCTCGCCGAGACGGACGAAGTTCGCGAGCGCGGACCATGGAGAGAGTCCCGGCGAATATGTTGAGCGGCAAGTTTCTCGAAAAACGGTGAAGCAGTAAACGATCGTTCGATTTCAGCCCCGATTTCTCCACGACGGATCTCTATGGGGGCGAATTCTCGTCACCGACGAACGACCACGTGTATCCGATATTATTTGGTGCTGCTCGCCGGCCGATGGGACGCCTCGGGTCGCGTGGACGCCGCGATTTCCCGGCGAGTGTCTTTTGGCGGGACCGGGACACGTCGCGGAAAAAGAACAAAAATTGCCGATTTATCTGCAGGTTCGTCTTGTGTATCTAATAAAAACGATTCTAATAGGACTGTTGCTTGGCGTGGTCGGGAATTTTCCGATAATCGTCACCTCGGTTCCGCGGTATGACGAAATTAAAATTGGTGGTACCGGAATTCGTATCTTCCCACAGAATGGGCGCTAATACCGCTTCGATATTTTGCAACGGGATCCTATATAATAAAAATAATCCCGCGTTCCTGCGGGGAAGACGGTACGGATGTACCACGGGTAAATAATATTGTTAAAATAGGGGTGATTGATAGTTAGGAACGGAATCGATCCGAAGCGTTCATCGAGAAAGCCAACGACGAAAGTCATAACCTCATTCCCGTCGTTGATCCGCGACATTTAATGTTATTGGCATGGTATTTAACTCGCCCCCTGATTTTTCCAACGAACAATATGTCTTAATGGAGGCGATAGTTTCAAGGGAAATACGAATAATCATATTTCCCCCGGAAATTCGCGAAATGCGAAGGAACCTGTCGACGAAACGATTGCGACATGCATTTGTCGTCGTACGATTTCTATTTTTATAAATTTCTATTAAACCTCCGCAATCATATCGTATATTGTTTACAATGTGTGCATTGTTTAAAGGAAATGGTCGACGATTGACGGCATTGGAAAATATTCGTTGAGCCTCCGTCAATGACGATCGCGATGTCGGGTTCTAAAATCATAAAGATGGTCGACCATATCAGTCGACGGAAATATCAGGGTTCGTTGATGTTGTTATTGCATGTGGAGAATTCGTACGGAATCGTTACAGCGAATGGGGTAAATACATATTTCGGATAATGGTTGTATTAGGGCAAATGTTCGAAGTAATCGAAATCAGTGAACGAATCGCACGAGATCGATGTTCTCATCCGGTGTGGTAGACATGTTGCTTTGGCGTCGTTGCTCGGGCATAGTAAATCAGCATTGTTATGCTCTGACATAACAAATCGATGCACTGCAATAATATTTCGCACGTGTTTCGATCTCCGATAGTCCGATGTATCGCGCAGGAAAAAAACATTTCGATCTGTCCGTCGAATAATGCCCTTAACCTGTTAACGATTTTTTGATCAGGAACACCCAACGTGCACGATCCAGGACGAATAAAAATAATTTCGAACGATTTACTCTGTAACCTCTAAAACCACGATCTAGTTTGTATTATTAAGCCAATTGTCATGGGTGAAGAATAAAGAATTTGTTGACAAACGAATTATCGAATAAAAAATTAATCAGTACGAATGGAAAAATATGACGAGTTATTTTGATATTTTCCGTGAAGATTTATTCTTTATTTTATGGGTATGAATGGGGAGATTAAACAGAATGAAAATGTTAATTTCCTGTCGTAAAATAAATGATTGTTATCGTAATGAGTGTCGTGCATATGTGTATGTAGCTTGCTCGTATGACGTTGTTTGTCGCTTTCTTTGCAATTTGCGTGTTTGATTCGAAACAGGTAAAAATGACGACATCAACGAAGAGAATGATTTGGAAACGAAGCCGTAGAGAAAAATCAGGTACGATCGCGGGACGCGTCAGTAATTGGAGTAATTAGGAGTTGGTAATTAGGAAACTTTATGAAGATTCGCTGTCTCGATTAACGAGAGTAGATAGTGGCAAAATTTCCGCGTACGAGATAAGACGCCATTTCCATATTGTTTCAGGATTACGAACTCCTTTGAAAAGGGGACCTTAATTTAATAAGTAGAATGGGTATTAATTATTTTTATTGTAGTTCACACGTGGACAGATGATGTCATCTCTACATATAAATTAAATGATATATATATAATTAATAAATATGTTTAGATTTTTTTAATACAATTATTAATTCATTGATTTGAAGACAGTGGTATTTCTAATTTTAATTATCCTGTAACATCGGTGTCACAGGCATCGTACGTCACAGGGAAAACCGTAAATGAGAAATAGAAAGTTGTTACATCATTTCGTCGTTTCGACTCTTGTTAAATTAATGCGATATTAGTACATGGACATTTTAATAGTTAACATTGAGGTTATGTCCATTAAAATTATACCAAGTTCTTGCATTAAGCCTGGTTTTTAATAATTTCCTGTACACTCGTATTTACTTGTAACACATACGAATACAACCAGTTGACAGTGAGACGCGTGAACACTAACCAAGCTTACGTTTCATCGGTATCGCAACTGACAGTCCTCTCGTTTATAAAACAACGCGAGATTGTTCCGTTTGGCGCGAGTTCGTTTAAAGGTATTATCGAGTAGTTAACCGGCGAATTTTTCAATTAGAAATATTCGCGTAAAGAAAAACTGAGATAATTTATTCTGTAATATACAATTATATTATCCAATTTACACTACTGTAAACATTATAGTAGAATTGGATCGATGAATGTTGAAAAAGATAAATAAATAGCGAAAAATTATCGCAGAATTCGGATAAATGCAAATGACCGATGGACGTTTATACTGGTCGACAGGACAAGATGAGAAACACTACGAACACGCGTTTAATTGTGGACTGTACATATTTAGCTGGACGGGCGCGCGAAAGTTTCTAAGAGTGCAGCAATAGCAGTGACAAAACGTTTCGCAGCAGCCGGTCTGTCACTTTGGGTGGGGAAAATCAATAGGAAAACCGAGTTGAAATCAGAGGTATGGGTCATTAACGTTTCGCGGATGAAACGCGTGGTATTATTTTGGAACGTCTCGGGTTGTGTGTGTAATGTGTCCTTGTTCGTGGATGCTTCATAATAACACTTCCGAAAAGCATTGTCCCTTGACGCACGCGGTCGCAATGCCTCCTGTGAAGTGATACAGCGGGGATCTGTCAACAGCTGTGCACGATCGGAGGAAAATGTTGAAAAATCCCACAATCGCCGACGCTTCTTGACATCGAATTGTGGAGACGACACCGTGCATCGTGCCACGCTTAACCATGACGATACTCGGGAAGATTTTGTTGGTCTGCCTCGTGTCGTGTATCGTGTCTTGGATCAACTATGCGGAAACCACACACATATCGGGCACCTTCAATACGAGAGAGTTTTTCCGTTTTCTCATTAAATTCGGTTTCCAAAAGACCGATCGCCACCGGCAGAAAGACTCGTACGGGTACATTTTCGGTAACGTAACGTCGAAGACCAATTTCTCTGTGCCGATCACATTGGCAGTGTTAGACCGCGGCCACTTTATAGAGTATTATGGTAACCGAACGTTAGAAGACAAGAGTACCGCCTGTACTCTTATGTTTAATACTCTGAATCAAAGCTCTTACGATGTGCACTGTAACGAGGAAGGTCAAGATTTCTTGAGGTACGTACCGTTGGTGCATTGTGTGTGCTGTTAAAATTGTACCGAGGAATTAACGTTTGTTCCTTTTATCTTTGATAAGGAGAGTACCTTGCTCGAAGGGTAAACTATGCCCGGATGAAGATTCCATATGGAACATTGTGAAGGGCCACCAATTCACATATGTCATACAAGATTTCTGGCAGCCAAGTTTTTGGTATATGAGCCTGGTGGCTTGTTATAGAAATACAACCACTTGCCAATGGGAATATTACGACAAACACGATGTGTTAGAATACGATATTTGGCTGGTAAACGGTAATCCAAATACTAGTGGCCTAAACAGTTTGACTTATCAATTCTCGTACGATAGACAGAACACTATAGAATTGTACTCGTTATTCTTTATGTGCTATATTATACTTGTACCACTACAATTGTATGCAGTAAGGTTACAAAAGCACCCTGTGACAAGATTGTTCACTGCCAGTCTTCTGTTAGAATTTATAGCAGTATGTTTGATTTTGATACATGTGCTAAAATTTGCTCTCGATGGAGTTGGCTATGAACAGTTAGAAGTTGCTGGAGATATTTTTGATATTCTGTCTCGGGTAAATATAGAATTTATATGTTTGTTTTAATATGGAACATATTTCAATGACATAATAATGCCCGTGTCTTGTGGTTTAGACATCATTTATGTTATTGCTTCTTCTACTTGCCAAAGGATGGGCAGTAACAAGAATGGAATTAACATGGAAACCATTAGTGTTTGCTATTTGGCTTTGTTATGGAGTAGTCCATATTCTGCTATATGTATGGAATATGGTATGCCTTTATTTGAAGCAAAGTGAATCTTTATTCAATGTATAGGAAATATTAAAGTACATCATTTTTGCAGACGGAAGTTGACATTATTGAAGACATTGATGAATACCAGACATGGCCGGGCTGGTTTATACTTCTATTTAGAAGTGCAATAATGATATGGTTTCTATGTGAACTTCGTAATACTATGACATATGAACATAATACTCAGAAGTTGAACTTTTTACTCCATTTTGGTGCATCTTCTTTAGTTTGGTTTATTTACTTACCTATTATAGCTCTTATAGCTCTTCAAGTAAGCGCATTGTGGAGGTTTAAATTGTTACTAGGTAAGTAAATAATATAATTAAGAGAGTGAAACATTATTTTCTCATTTGTAATATATTCATAGGTATTACATACTCTGCTGATTGTTTTGCATATTGTGTGATGGCTCATTTACTTTGGCCAACACGGAGCGAACAATATTTTTTACTTGCACAAGGAGCAGACAATGGTGATGAACTTGACGAATTCAATGAAGCGCCGCATGTGTTAAACAATTATGTAGAACCACCAGAACTTAGTAAAATAATTACTTAATATCAGGCCATAAAGGGCAAAGGAACACACAGATGTTTAGTCAAACTTGTATGGTTTGATGTTTGCTATGTTTGCCAAATGGTAAATTCATAGAGTTAAAAATACTCTGCTACATGCTACTTGAGACTGATATAATCTGCACACTCTTTAATTAGAGATATATTAATAATCAAATTTACATATGTGATAGGGAGTCAGTAATTGACAAAAGAAAAAGAAAATGGGTGAGTATGATATGAGTACTTTTGAGTAATTGATTGTTCATTTAGCAGGGAAATGAACGTACGATTAAGTTCTAGCATTTGTAGATACAAAGTGATAATGTTAATGTATGATGTTCATGTAATATACAGTGATAATGTATAATGAATGTATATTTATAACTTTTACGCCAATGTACAAAAGAATAATATTTAGCTGTCACATATTTAACATTACATTAATATATTCTAGATAGGGGTGATCATATACACGTAGTCTTCTACTGCTTCTTTTTACTTATCTTGTTATTGCAATAGAATGTAATAACTTTACTCATGTCATACTCTTAAATTCTATGCAACTAACATTAATAATTCTGATTTAACGTTCAACTATTTTCCAGCACTATTGATTAAATTTAGAATACTTAATGGACTACTTATACAACTTTATCTAAAAATCTTTCTAATCTTGTACTATACTACACATTTTTTATGACACTAACAAATCAACATTTTGTAACTACATGACAGTTTGCAGAGTATGAAAACTATCTCAATACGTGCTTGAAAAAGTATGAAAACTGAAAATAAAATCACTATGACCTCCTTCATGTTTATTTCATACAAAACTGCAATGTTTGGAAATGAAAGTGTATATTAGCATACAATATAAATTACCTTGGAGAACAATATTTTTTATGCTCTCTTGGTTTTCAGTATTACTACAATGAAACTCATATCTAATTGAATAATTATAAATATACCTTCTATATATTTTTTAATAACCAATGTTATTACATTGAAATTTCGTTGTTCTTGTAACACTTTCTACTGTTTCATTTTATATTTGTGTATTTATATGTTCTAATATTTAAAGTATAAAACTAACTAAATCATTATATAGGAATTAAAATGTTTTAATATTTTGTGCTTGCACAGAAGTTTCCTATGACATTTTTGCTCAATTTTGTAATAAATTAAGTACTAGAATAATGAAGCATATACTTTCTTAGAACCTTTATAAACTGCATATGTACGTATTGAAATATTGGTGCAATGTTTTTAATGTATTAGTACTCTGTAGAAGTAGGAAATATGATTGATCAGGAAACAAGGTTCAATGAATTTAATTAGTAAGTTTAACACTTTCTTTGTTTGTGTGAAACCAAATTGAAAAAAATAGTTCTAAAGGAATCATGACTGTATAAAAATCCTTTTTTTTATAGTGAATATAATAATGTTTAATGTTTATAGAAACTATACAAATTTTGATGGAAATTTTAAAGACTTATAAAGTGTAGATTAGAATTGAAAACCTGAAGTTCATCTCTCATTGGTATAAGTAATTTTAATCTAATACAATTTTAACAGAGTATTCTCCAATAACCTGAATGTTAATTTTCAATTACATCTTGCTCATAGGATATATACTGTACAATGATGATGTATAGGTTCCAAAAACTCGATTTCAAAAAATTTGGAATACATAATATTATGCAACAAATGTCTTTTATTCATTTATTTTAAACTCTCAATTATAGCTTTATATCTTTATTCTATACAGTGGAGTTCTGAGTTATGTCCTCCCAATGTTCTAACTAATAAACTATTTCAAACTTATTTTTTAACATAGAATCAGTTCTTATCCAATTGTACTACCAGTTACATGACACCTAACATAAATACATGCAATTTTAGTATATTAATACAGTAAAGAAGCAAAATAAGAGAAGTTTATTTTAATGAATTTATTTATTGTTGTCAACTAAATAATTTTTTATACATATTGAACAAGTGTAACTTGATACGTCTTTCAAACATTGAGTCATAGTAGCTTTAAATTACCAGTAAGATTATCTACAACCTCTTTAGGGCCTGGTCCTATTCCAAGTACTGAAATTGTACCAGGCTTTAATACAGTTTTACCTGCATCTTTTATTACAGCAGTAATGAGGCCGACCTTACGGGCATCTTCTGCTAATGTCAGTAATTTTTGTTCGTTACGTATTGTTACAACAATTTTTGGTTGACCTTGTAATAACCAAGGTTCATACAATTCTTGATATTTTGAATTATCTACTGCTTGACGATAACATTCCACAGCAGCATGTGCACACTGTGCAGCAGTTTTTCCTGTGCCCATAGATAGATCTGATCTCACAATGATTACCATTTTATAGTAACCACTATCCGAATATTTCACAACTTTGAACACACGTTTTATATACTTTATCACAGATAACATTGTTTGAAAATTAGGAACATTAGTTTTGATGTGTTTTCTGATAAGTGTCCATGCACTGTTTGAACTCTTTCAATATTCCCTGACACTTTCTCCAATCTTGAGTTTCCGCTATACATTCCTGAAAATATATTCAATGATTACATTACAGGTATTCAACTTGTAAGGAAATATGTAAGATTTATACTTGAACTTGATAATGTAATTCCATACAGCCGGTCTTTTTTAACATCTCTTCGACTAGGTCGACTTCATTCTCCGGTTTTTGCGTTGAATGTAGATTAACAGTCATTTTTAATTTAAATACAATACACAAAGTATTACTTCAAGTTTAATATCGAATAAAGATATTCGTTAAACACAGAGGTTATTGCCGTTCTTCACGATACCCCTGATTGTAGCTACCCGCACGAGATAGAATGCACGGCGTAATAGAATTACATCCGTGGTCAAAATTGAAATTAATTAATATTTAGGTTTATGGCATAAACGATACTGTACTTATAGCCCTTTAAATATTAAAAGCAAAAATTAATTGATTTTAAATGTACATGTTCAGCGCGGAATCAGAGTCTCAGATAAGAAATACATCTTGCAAAAGTGCTAGATTTAAGCGCGATGTACAACTGATTATTTTTCTTTTTTTCATAGTATATCAGTCTCTTAACCAACTACTTCCTGCGTAAAATAATAAAATTTCTAATTTAAAACACAACGAATAGACCACGGACGTTTATGTAAATTCAACATTTTCAAAAATTTATAAAAACTTCTAAATACAAATCCCTTCGAATATTAAACCTATTTTCAATTAAAATATACTTGACAATTTGCAATGACAGCTAGCAATATTCTTATTTCAATGTTCCCTTAGGGATTCACATACGCTATAAACACGTATATAAAATTCGCAATTTGGCAACGAGGTAAGGCGCTAGCTTCGACATATGGCCGCTAGTGTTCCGAATTCTCCAGCAGACGACACAAGCCATGGTTTAGTGCATTTCGAAGCATGGGACGTGCAGTGCCTCGGTGTGTGTGCCGCGGATATCGTGATCTATGAGTTTTTCCCCGTGCACCACTTAAAAAGGTGCATGCTTGAAAACAGTGCTAATGCCCGTGCACATCGCTGGATCTCGCGTTCGCGTCCGCATCGGGGCGTAAAGTGTTCGTTTGCCGGCCGTCTGTCGCAACGTTTTCGTAAGTATTTACCGTTTGTTTTCAATTGCGGTGACTTAAAAGATTCTGCCCCCTCTAACATTGTCACGATCGTCCCAATAAAAACTCGTAATAACCATCCGGTGATGACGGTTTCGGTTTCCCATTTACCGTTACGAATTGAAAGGTGACACAGCCATATCGGAATTCCATAGCACGTGGGCAAGGCACGTTGTATTCGAACGTAACGAAAGTGCCCCGCGACTTCGCATCGTCGTACCGTCGTCCTGTCAACGTTTTCATTGACATTCCCCCATAGGAATAATACACGCGCGAGTCTCGCAATCGGATAATACATGAAATTCCATTGGACCCAGTGTCGATTATCAAAATAAAGTGGGACACCAGTGTGCACTCGTTTTGCACGTAACAGTTCCACTGCAGTCGTATTTTCCTTCCCTCGACACACTTCCCTACGTTGTTTGCCATTAATTTCCGTCGGTCTCGCGGAAAACTCAATTACCACCGACGCATTAGTGTCATTTGTACAGTTAATAGGTTACTGGATATATGTCGCGATGAACGATACGATGACCAGCCTCGGCTGCTCCAATTGCTGGTTATTTAAATCGGTCGCGCCTTGAAATCTCTCGGCGAATGTCATGGAGATCAGTTTCCCCTCGTGTCGCGTGGAGAGTTCGTCTTAATTGTTGATTGAATCAATAAGAATTCAACAATTCTTGAATTTCATGCACATTAAATAAAATTCGTGACAGATGGAATAGAGAAATTGTTAATCTCGAAAATCGTTAGGTTCATGTTCTTCTATTGGTAAGTTAAAGTACGATACACGGTGAATGTTATTAATGATTCATTGAGAAAAAATGCGGTTTCTTTGATACGGTGTAATTATTGGACGAAACGAGAACACTAAAAGGTAAAATGTCATTTTATATTTGCGCGCCAAATGAAGCTCGACAGCGCTCGTGGCACGGAGTGGAACCAGCTCAGTTCCTACGTCACCGCTAGGTGGCTACGTCGCGATGCACCACGTTTCTCGCTAGTGCTCGCAAACGCCTCGGTTACTATATAAGCCCGAACGGAGCACTTCTCTAACGGGTAGTCTGATGCTTCCCGGGAAAAAACCAGCGCATTATGCGGACTATTTACAGACCACATTATGTCCGGTACTCACGACGTTGTACCCATTTAACAGTGTCATCAAAAAATACAATTGTTTACTTTGTAAAACTTCACTGTGGAAGCACCCTGTGGACTATCTTTTTTGCGACTTCTTTCTCTTTTCCGTATAGCTGGAATTTTTTGTCTTGTCTGTATAAAAATTTATGTGACACTAAATGAAGAAATAACTTTTGAATAGAAAACCCTTTGCACTGGAGAGGTGACTCTTAATTACTACTTGCTTTGATACAGGAAACTATGACGTTGAATATTCAGTATTTTAAATTAAACTTTGTATTTCTGTGTAATATTTAAATAAAATAGCTTCGTTGCTTAATTAATCTGTAAATTATCGCTAAGTTTGAAATGTTGAATATATTTTAATATATTAATTTGTTCTATAATTTTATTATAATGTACTCGGTAACTTTAGAGTTACAGGGATATAAAATATTTACACTTGTACTTATATTAACATCAGTTCATGAATTGTTTAATATTATTCGTCACCGTATGGAGTAACATTGAATAAATTGACCGGTTTTTATTTTGTCAATTAAGGTAAATATAAATTATGTTATAAAGTTTGTAAACTCTAAGTCTTCGTGAGGGTTTAATTAAGTATGCATGCGGATATGGAATTTTATGGGTCGATTTACATAGTCAGTTGTCTGATCCCGATTAAACTCAAGAAAACTCCGCACAGTATCGAGGTTTCAGACAATGGGGCACGCTGTAAACGCATAAAATTCGCAGTCCGGTAATCGGAGTCTCGACGGCGATTTATCAGCACGTCTGGTGCACTCAATTGATTCGCGCGGCAAGCACTTTACGTCATCCGTCGTCGCGGCGATATTTTAACTCGGTTTATCGCGATAATTCAATTACCATTGAACCGAACACCAATTACGAACCCGCCATTAATTATATCTAGAGTTCGAAACTTTGAACGACTCGGTCATGGTCTTGAATACAGAATCAAAGTAATTCAATTAGAAATCGTGTCATCGAATTTCGTTCGTATCATTAGAATCTCTTTCAAATTTCTTTCACAATTATTGGAAAGAAATTTCTTTTCTCAATCGTTCAACTCGGTCATTCAACAAATCGATTTTAAAGTGTGCATTCTAAAATATAGATGAATTGTGATTTGGTTAATATACATATAAATCTAGTATATTAAACTATATACTATGAATCAATATGTATTAACCCTTTGAACTTTGTAGGCTCTAATATTGTAGCAATTCTAATATTAGATATTTAAATGAATCTTAAAGAAACTACCCTACAATTATTAGACTTCTCACACGTCCAAATTTTCCACTAAGAAGGATAATAAAAGATCTAAGAAATTATAGCATTTCTCATTTTCGCTAGAGATACTATAAAAATTAGTTGCAGTTGCTGATAGATTACAAGACCATCTGGAGTGGTAAGTGTTAAAGAGACTAACAACAATTTCAGAATCAAAATAAATTGTCAAAAACATCGATATTATTTCGAGTTTTAAAGTGACAAGTATTCTCGTCAAATGCATTTAACTAATTAGTACTGCAAACTGAGTTCTATCGGTTTCCCTTGTGAACACTATCGATTACAACCGATAATTATCAGTCCAGTTCAGCAACTAGGTTTTCCCGGCAACCGAGCCGAGACGGTCAAAGTTACACTCAATTTGCATTCGTCGATATCGTAATTGATGCGTCCTTAACGTCACAGGGGAGCCTGAAGTGTTCAAATGCAAATACAATGCTCAAAGAACTTTGTCTAACGATCGACTGTTAACTAACTCGTTCGAGCACGTTGCAGCGTTTCAACTCTTCTCAACGCGAGACGAGAAAAACAGGCCTTCTTACTCGCCTTTTCGAATGGATTTTCGAATTGACCCGCTGCCCCCCGTTAACCTATTTCCACTGGCCGGGTGAAACTGGGGTGACCAGGTTTCTCGGTTCGAAAATTGGGGCGGCCGTTCGAGGCCAACGATGAAAGGAATTCTCCGACTTTATACCACAATTATTAATGTAAATTAACGGCGACGTTAACTCTAACACATTACGGCCGATATATCGGCTTTTCACCTTTCGATGCGATCGTGACCTATATCTCTCTTTTTCTTATACTCTCAAAATATCCTTTCCCTAAAAGGGTTGAAATTTAATTGTGAAGTTTATAATTTAGCTACGTTAGTTGAACGCGGCTCGGTCTCGGATATTATCTAAGATTTCCGCTACTCGCGGATTTCATTCTTATTACATACATGTTTACGGATTATTCCGTGCTTAGTTATATGGGCCGGTTGTCTCGTCAACGATAAAAATGATAAGAGCTTTATTGCATCATATAAAACGGTGGATCCGCGAGATTCGGCAAGTTAACCCCTTGTTTAATGGTGTCGATTGTTGGTGTCAACGTTGATAAATCCAAGGGTCCGAGATTTAGAAAGTAATCAGTTTCTATTCAAGCGAGGACGAAGTGCTATTTTGTCTCTTATCAATATTCGGTATTAGGTCAGGTTTTAAAACAGCCTCTGGCTGCATCACGCCCTTACGCAATACCGTAACGACTCGTACTGTTTACGTCCAATTATTTCGTAATAAACATGACATAATGATAGCAACAATATTCCGAGTAAGAGTGGGCTTAATATGTTGACGTAGATTGTTGTCTTCCCAATCGAATCGTGGATATTACATTGTGAACCGAGCGAGGGTTGAAAGCACGAACGATAACTAAGTTTCGTGGGGTGAAGTTTATAGAGTCGGCGAATGGATGCAAGATGGGATTAGGAAGATGGAGGAAGGGGTAATGTGGTTTCTTTTTAAACACTGGAATACTCCTTTCCCCTTCTCTATTGATAGATGCTTCATTTATTATAAATTTATTTAGCTATATGTGAATGCAGTAGTTACAACTGAAGACAAAGTTGAACAGTGGTCTAACTGATATTTTTAAGAATATCCTTGGATTAATTAAATTACCTATATTACAGTTACGAATATTACAATTACCAAATTACTAATATTGCAATTACCAATATTGCAATTATCAATATTGCAATTATCCATATTGCAATTATC